ACCCCCACCCCCATTAATGCAAGGGGCACTTCCTTCACCATCTCCAGGGGAAGGAACTCCACCCCCACCCACGCATGGTGTATCTCCAACACTACCTTTATTACATGGAGCACCACAGCCTCCCTCACCACCTCCTCCCCCACCACCTTCAAGTTATGGAGCACCTCCTCCTCCACCCCTTCCAATGTTTGGAGCACCCCCTCCTTTGATCCCTCCCATGCAAATGCAGAGGAGACCTCCTACACCTCCTCCATCGCCTCCAATGCATGGGTCTCCTCCACCAATGAATGCAACTCCACCGCCTCCCGTACGTGGGGCTTCTCCACCACCCCCACCTCCACTAATGCATGTGGCTCCTCTACCATCGCCACCGCCACCAATGCTTGGGAATCCTCCTCCACCTCCACCTCCACCTCCACCAATGCACGGGAATCCTCCACCACCCCTGCCACCTCCACCAATGCATGGTGCTCCTCCACCACCCCCGCCACCTCCACCAATGCATGGGAATCCTCCACCACCCTCGCCACCTCCACCAATGCATGGGAATCCTCCACCACCTACCCCTCCACCCCCACCGCCACCCTCAGCCGGGGATGGTGGAGCCCCTCCACCACCTCCGCCACCCGGGGGTGGTGGAATCCCCGCACCCCCTCCGCCACCCTGGGGTGGTGGAGCTCCCGCACCACCTCCGCCACCCGGGGGTGGTGGAGTCCCCGCACCCCCTCCGCCACCCTGGGGTGGTGGAGCTCCCGCACCCCCTCCGCCACCCTGGGGTGGTGGGGCTCCCCCACCCCCTCCACCACCTGGGGGTGGTGGAGCTCCTGCACCCCCTCCTCCGCCAGGTGGTCATGCTCCAGCCCCACCTGGACCTCCAGGTGGTGGACCTCCTCCACCTCCACCGCTAGGTTCAAAAGGAGGAGCTGTTGCACCTCCTGACCCAAGAGGTTTGTCTGCTGGAAGGGGGCGTGGGCTAACACGCTCAGCTACTACTGCACCTCGAAGGTCCTCCTTGAAGCCTCTACATTGGAGCAAGGTTACAAGAGCTCTGCAAGGGAGCTTATGGGAAGAACTACAGAGATATGGCGAGACTCAAATGTATTTTGAATTCTCTTTTTATGTATCTTGCCGATTTGAATTGAAATTAATCCAGTCTTCCAAGAGGATATTTCTCAGTACTTTTAATGATTTTATGCTGTTTGCTTCTTATTGGTGCTTCCTTTTCCTCCCTCTCCTCAGTGCATCAGAGTTTGATGTGACCGAGATAGAGACTCTCTTTTCTGCAACTGTTCCCAAACCTGCTGATGGAGGCAAATCTCGAAGGAAGTCTGCTGGATCCAAAACTGACAAAGTTCATCTGGTAATTTTATAGTTAAAGTATGTTGTTGGAATTTTCATTTTGATGACGGAAACTACAGGATTAACATGTATATAATCTCATCTGTCAATTATTATTGATTTTGAATCATTTGAAAACCTGATGCAATTCCCACTTGGAGTGGGAGAGTTTTACATTGGTGCTTGGTATAGGTGCAACTTAAAGAGTTGTACCACGTAAATCAGTAGAAAAGTTAACTCAAACCAAATTGAAATAGTAGTTCAAAATTTAGTATGACGAGCTTCAGTTCCTATACCTCCTCATATTTCAAAGTATCAGAAAATTCATTGAGTTTAGAAAATCACCACTTTGTCGAATGCGGAACAGAAATAAAAAGTTTCTTTCTTAAAAATTTATTAACCATCATAGCTTGATGTACAACTCTAATTCTTGGCAGACATCATAAATTCTGAATCTCATCTTTGGAGAACAACGTGATTTTTGCTAATTAAGTAGTACTTGGAACCTCCAAACGCTGAATGACCTTAAGAAATAAAGTGACCTGTGAAATTTTCCAGTATCAGATTTAAGCAATTGTAACATCAATTTTTTGAAGGTTTCTTTTCAGATTCTGCATTCCTTAATGAAATTTGTTTTATTATGTTCTAATATATCCTTTGAATGGCATTCAAAAATTGTAATTTAGTTTGGGATAGAGGTTTTTTTTTTAATTAACGTACTTTTCAGAAGCTGCCATGTGTTCTATTGGATGTGCTGTATAACGAGAAGAAAACAAGCATTAATTTCTTTTTTTTATGTTTCATTGACTCAGTGAATAAGTTAGCTTAGCTGTGTATTATTGTTAAGATCATGGTTATATGAGTCTTTAGCCAATACAATTTACACAAATTCTCCCTCAAAACTCTTGTACGATGTTAGATTGCATAGTCTCAAAGCATAGAGTTGCATAGGATTTCTTGGGTTGTTTGGTTTTTTCATTCAAATAAGACTAAGATCTACAATTTGATTTACCACTTTGGTGTGTTGGACCGCCCTTTTCAAGAAGAGCTCTCCCACTTTGGAAAGTGTGCCATTTTTGCAAGTCCTTGTATGTTTTGAATTGAGAACTTTGGGTTGAAAAAAAGAACATAAGATCATTACGTCTTTTATAAAGTGTTTAGAGTTCTTCTGTTGGTTGTATATGCGGATGGCATTCTTATTACTATTGTTATTACTAGAGCTATGCTTAAGCTTTTAGGGGTCCTATATATCATAGTTAATCTCATTCAAAGGACTTTGGATGTTGAATTAGTTTTTTTTTGGGTTATATTTGGCCATAGAGGTGGTAGGAGTGGGAAAGGGATTCTTTTAGTACAAGGAAGTTTAGAGCACTCCAATTAAGCTTAATGTAGTTCACAAAAGAGGACAATTTATTTTTGGATATTGAGGAATTCTGGAAAGCCAAACTATCTCGTCCAGAAGTTGCTTATTCAAATAACATTATTTCAATACAAGATATCACAAATTCCAGCTTGAAAGCTAGATCTTGACATGGAATCTTAAAGTTCATGTTATTGCTCCTTAGATGTTGATTGGGTATTGTTCGTAGGTCAACTTTGTATTGAATTTTTGTTTAGGGTAATTTAGTATAGTAGAAAAGTAAGAAGTAAAATGTTCTCTCACGTGTGGGTGCAAAATCAGAATAAAGAGCTATGACACAATTTGTGTGTGAAGTTACAAAATCAGAATAAAGAGCTATGACACAATTTGTGTGTGAAGTTACAAAATCAGAATAAAGAGCTATGACACAATTTGTGTGTGAAGTTACAAAATCAGAATAAAGAGCTACAACACAATTTGTGTGTGAAGTTATGTTGATACACTAACTTTAGCCTGGGTTAGATTTCAATATCACAATTTAGTCAAACTACAGAGTGATAAGTGAGCTTTTTTTCTAATTGCCTCCAATATGATATTTCATGAGCGAATCGTGTTTATTGTCATTATGTTAAACCACAAGATATATGAAACTGAAAAAATAGGTTTAAGATGTTGCTACCAAGTCTCTAAATAAAGCATGAATTGAATTTCTTGTCGTAATTTGTGGCATGATTAACATATATACTCCAGCATAAGGGGAATTTATTAGTTGAATTTTAAATACCATGGTTATAGGTTTTGTCACTTAGTATAGTGTCTTTATTGTGTTTTAACACTTTTTTAGGAGAAGGGTCCCATATGTTTGGGGTTATATTATACAGTATTTAGTGAATGAGCTTTCTCCCATTTTACTTGCTGTTAGTTTACATTGTATAGTTGGTGGATCACTATTTCATCCAAGTTCATCTACTTTTTTCATAATGGACTTTTTGTTCACAGATGTCAACATAACAATCCCGTCCTCATTGATAGAAATGGACTTGGAAAAGGTTTACTTATTTACGATGGATGCCTACATGGATCACTGGAAAGAAATAACGTTAATAGACTTAATATCTGCTGAATCATATTTCTCACCGTTGGTGGTTGAACCCTTATACTGCTAGATATTTTTTGTCTGGGGGTTGAAATTAAAATTTTGAATACATTTATATTTTTTGTAGATTGACCTCAGAAGAGCTAACAACACTGAAATTATGCTCACCAAAGTAAAGATGCCACTTCCTGATATGATGGTAAGATGATCGGACCAACTTTTTATTTTTAACTCACCTATGCATCAACTGAAACCATCCTTTACTCTTGTTACTAGGTATTCATGGTATGTTTGAAACCATCTACACAAAGGCGTTGAATATTGTACATACTTAATACCTTAATTTCGTTCTATAAACATGATGACTAACGTTTCTTTTCACTTTTCATGAGTCTAGCACATGTAGAAATTATTGCGACTTTTTTCATAATTGTTTTTCATGTCACACATTGACCTTTTACAACCAATATTAGATAATTTTGTCCAATTTTCTAGGAGCAAGCTTAAGTTCTATTGGGCTTGTAGTCGTACAATATTTTAGCTGATAATTCAAATCCTGGGTTGTAGGAGAGATGGTGGCATTCATATGATCCTTAAATATTCCGCTTGTTTCAGCTGATTCCAATTCCTGGGCTCTTACTTGAACAAATGGCCAAACTATCTGCACCCTGCAACAATTGGAGACTGGACTGATCATAGTTTAGGGGATAAAAATTGACTGACCTACAAAAGCTATTTCTATCTCATACCATCACATCTTTGATTGCCACTTTGCCTTCTAAGGCTAGAAACGATCAGCAACTCTATTGCAAGCTATAAAAGGTATTTTGTGAACTTCGAGTTCGAAACTTGAACACGCTAGGATGATCAACGTTCCTTGCCTGAAAAACACCTGTCCTCATTATAACTGTTACAAATACCATTTCTTAATTAAGCCCGAATAGACTGCTCAAGACAATGTATCACCTTCACTTGACAACTGGAAGTTTGAAATATATCACAATAAGAATGTATTACTGTTCTAATATGAAATTTAACAAAATGAAAATTTTGAATCTGAAAAACTGTAAGATTACTAGGTTGAGCGCACACATAATATTAAGTTTTAATCTTGCCCTTGTGAACAGATGTTCTGAGAAGGATAGTGCTAAGTTGGAGATATTGAGTTGATAAATACACTTTCTTTTTTTATTTTACAAATACTTGTTTTTGGCGTTAGTCATGTAATTTTTTTTTTTTTTTTTTTGATAATGGTGATCGTAATTGATGAAAAGTTTAGCTTTTAATGTATGATATCTCAGGCTGCAGTGCTAGCAATGGACGAATCAGTATTAGACGTTGATCAGGTGGAAAATCTCATAAAGTTTTGTCCTACGAAGGAGGAGATGGAACTTCTTAAGGTGAACTTCTTAATATTTGAAATTAGAGGCTGATGGAAGAATTAAACTTGACTATGAGCATTTTTTCATAGTTTCTCGGAATACTAATTATTCTGTAGTGACATATCCTGTACTCTTAATTTTCTTCGTCTTTTTATTATTTCTTTTGACAAATTTATTGTTTTCTATCTAGGGATACACTGGTGATAAGGATAACCTTGGAAAGTGTGAACAGGTATTCTGTTTGCTTTGTTGAACATGATAAATTACTTGATACAGTCGTGAAATCTGTTGGACTAAACGTTTCCATGTAATGGTGACACCTAAAAATATTAACTTGCTGTTGCATTTTCCTGGTATTGATTTCGTGAAGTGTTCAATATGATTGACCAGTGCTTGTCAAATAATTCATGTCATCTAGTAGGGTAAAAAATGCAAAAGCATCTTTTGTAGTTAAAGACTTTTGATACTTGGGAGCCATTTATTTTACATAATAATTCGACCTTATTGTTTAACAAATGTAAAATCAGGAAAACAAATGTAAAAAATGTAAGTCGTTTCCTTGGGCGGGGGAGGGCCCCTGGCCTTTTGGCCGTCTTTCCAGTTTTTGTTTATAATATATTCGATGTCTCTTAAAGAAAATAAATAAATAAAATTTTCACCTGTCTCATGTGGGGTTAAGGATGTTCATGGGACAAGGACATGATAGTTTTCTCTATGTCCCAACAAAATTTTCCGTTAAACTCTGCTGGGATTTGATAGAAATTTCTAGCTAGGAATTGCAGGGGTTGGGTTCGTTGTGGAGCATTATTTCTTGTTTAGTGTTTCTTAATGTTTTAATTTTTTTTTAAAATTTCAATTAAATTAAATGAAATCTTTTGGATTTTTTCTTTCCCAATTAAATTGTTAATTCTCCATAAAATTCTTCCTTTTAAATGTTTCTCCACAGGAAATTTCTATTAAAGAGAAAATTCTTAAACATTCTAATAGAATCAAAATTATATTCCATATCAAATTATCCAATTATCCATGCATGTTGTTCAAATGTTCACTTACATAGTTCAAACCTATCAAATTAACGAAGTCATTAAACAATAAAACTTCAGAATATGTATGTATAAATATATAATCAAAAGAGGCAAACTAACCCGTTCCCATTCCCATTTAGCTCCTGGGGAATATTTTCCCTCCACTCAATTCCCACAGGCCGTTCCTGAGGGAAAAGGAACACCCCTATGTGGGGGGTATATGTTGCACTCTCTCTCTCTCTTTTCCTTTTAATTTTTTTTATAAGTTTGGTGAAGTTTTAAATTTCAGTCTCGACTTCTGTTTTAAGATTATTTGTTAAAGCTTCTACGATTGATTTGAATAGCTCACACTGCCTTCTTGCTTAAATCTCGTAAATCATAAGATATTGGTTTGCCATTCAGTGTCAGTGAGAAATCATATTCTGAAATTTCTTTCGTTGTCTAACATCTAACTTATTGCTTCATCTGATTATCATGGTTAAAATCTATTTATTTACTTTGTTAGGATTTAACTTATTCAATGTCTGATTATCATTGTTTGAAGCAATTTATTTATTTTGATTTATCTTGTGTATCAGTATTTTTTGGAGCTGATGAAAGTGCCTCGGGTAGAGTCGAAGATGAAAGTGTTTTCCTTTAAGATTCAGTTCGGCTCTCAGGTTTGGTGGTATTATCAATTTAAACTAATTTTGTTGTTTCATTATTTCTAGATTATTGAATTACATCTTTTACCTGGCATCTTTGGTTTCCATCTGCAGTTATCAGAATTTAAGAAGAGTTTGAATACTGTCAACTCGGCTTGTCATGAGGTTGTTACTGCTGAGAATAAAATCTTGCCGTAGTTTTGGTCTGGCACTTCAACCTTTCGTGCTTTAACCCTTCTAAAATTAACTATTACTACTTTGTAGGTTAGGAATTCTGCCAAACTGAAGGAGATTATGAAGAAAATTCTTTATCTGGGGAATACACTGAATCAAGGAACGGCGAGGGGTAAGGTCTTGATTACTTGGGGTAATTGGAATGTGCTGTTCATATGGAAAAGTCATCTTTAGCTATTTTCATCTATTTTTAAACCTAGGTTGGAAGGAACGGAAATAGGAGCGTAAATTCAATATAAATGCCAATACTTTATGAGAAATCCTCTGTGGTGTGAAATTATTATTTGATCAGTGTAAACTTAAGTTTTATAGTCTCGTGGGACAATGACTAAAGGTGCTAAAATAATGTATCACTTATATTACCATTATGATTTGTGCATTCATTGGTTGATGATTGGTCTATTTCCTGATCCATCGCATAGGAATGACTTATCTTTGTTTCTAAGGAACATAAAACAATCAAAGTATTGAAAAAGAAACACTATTTTTAATCTTGCTGCTGCTCGGTGGTGGTATATGCAAGTATACTTCTTACTCTTCCTTTTCTTTTTCTTTTTCTTTTTTTTTTTTTCAATTTCTAATCTTAAATTAAACTCATGACCTGTTCAATGAATGGCTAATTTCAGTAGCTCATCCTACTCTGGTTGAACGCTTGCATGATACTGTCTCATCATTCATCTCCCCAAAACTTCATGGCAATTTTGAAGGGTGTTATATATTGGACGTCTTGTACTTTGTTCATTCATTTCTTGTTTTTTTATTTAAAAAACCTATAAAAATATGAGCTTACAGGTTCTGCAGTTGGCTTCAAGTTGGACAGTCTTTTAAAGCTTGCTGATACACGTGCTTCTAATAATAAGATGACGCTCATGCATTATCTTTGCAAGGTTTTCCTTCTGATTATACCTTTACTTAAATATGCTGCGCTAATTGGCTATTTGTGCAATTCACTTCATGGTTAATTAGAGGAGTTATACGTGGATTATACTTTCACATATTACATAATATGTAGATATATTAGTGATGCATATCTAGCTTGTTCCCTGTTCATAGTGAGAAATGTCTGTATAAGCACTGAAGCTGGTCAAATTAACAAGCTATACTTTTTTCCCTCACGATACTTTCATTAATAGGAAGATAAGTATAAATTGCAGGCGAAGAGGAGAGGAAGAACCACAAAAAAGTGAGAACTGTTCAACCCTTGTCGAAGATGTAGGCCCGAAGGGACAAGAGACCCATACCCCTAGCCCCCCAAAAGATCCTTCAAAGAGATTTTTCAAACGTGCCTGCTCGAGTAGTGATAGGAGATGAAAATCTGCATACGAACTGCCATTTATGTTGACATATTAGAGCGTAAATGTGCTCGATAAACCAAAAATGTTAAAACGTGATGAGTGGTAGTCTTAAAGGGAAGGCAATAGATTTCTTTTGATGAAACACATTGGGTTAAGGAAAATGATACCTAAAAGCATGAAGCTATCAAGACGTCTGAAAAAGTTTTAGTATATTGCTCTAGAGGGCCTCTGGTCATCATGCATGCTGTTCCGATGTAAAGAGATGAATGAGAATCAGATTTCATGGTTTGAGTACTACGTTCCTAGATCTTTTATCAGTTTGTTGCATCTCTGGAAGGAGATGAACCCTACTATACTTCAGCTAAAGGTTGGATTGCAATCTCTAATTTGTTAGGTCCTTGCTTCGAAGACACCAGCTCTTCTTAAATTTCATTTGGACCTGGGTAGCCTAGAGGCAGCAACCAAGGTACAAATCTTTGTTTTTCTCCAGTACTCTGTTGGTTTTTGTTATGGATATCCTTACATATATATATTTATAAGAAATAGAAAAATTCACAAGGATAATGTAATATTCAAACCTCCAAGAAATTTTCAAATTGCATTCAATTTAGGTAATACTAGTAGAACACAAACCTTAGAGAAACCCCACAAAGAAGCGTTATCAGTAATGGCCTCCTAGTCTTCCTCCTACCTCATTGTTTCTGAAGAATTTTTCTTTTCCTTTGCTCCTAAGGAATTTTCTTCTCTTTGTTTCTGATGTATTTTCTTTTCCCTTCCATCCAAGCATACGAAAGATTGTTTAAATAGTAATACATCTTTGGTCCTTGGTTTCTGTTAACATCATATTTTCCTCTCTGTAAGATACAATTGAAGTCTTTAGCGGAAGAAATGCAAGCTATAATTAAGGGGTTAGAAAAGGTCAAGCAGGAATTTGTTGCTTCTGAAAATGATGGCCCAGTCTCCGAAATTTTTCGAAAGGTACATCTGCCCTTTCATATGTTTTTCCCAAGAACTTTTCTGCACTTTTATTCTTCCATAGTGATTCTAACTTGATTCTATTTTCTTTGAATGGCAGTCATATGTCTCTGGAGTATTTTCTAGTAACATGCATTTGCCCTATATTGATTTACTTTAAAAGGATAATTCCAGTAAAATCATGTTTTCATTTGCCCCATGAAAGAATTAATCATACATAAAAACTTCACTTAAGTAATTTGTTTAATCACACTTTAGACTGTGAAATTGAACCTGGCAATCATGTATTTGAACTATCTAGTTATTTGTATAAGTTATAAAATAGTCGGGATAAAGACCAATTATTTGCAATCTCCACTGAATTTGAAGTATATCAGTAAAAAGAATTGGATTCACAATGATCAACATCTCACTTTTTACCCACAAACCTCCAATTCGGAAAACCTTTTGATGTAGATCTGGACCATACTATAGCGACCTATGACGTGAATGTCTTAAATAGAAAAAACCAATGTCATGGTAAAACTTGATATCTCAACCAATAAAAATCTTGTCATGTTATCATGCGCTTTTTTGCTTCATTTTTTGGTCTTGTTCAACTGCTCAATACAAAAACAATAGTTTCTTCACTTTGAATAGTTGTGAAATTTTATTTGGCTTCTTGACAACCCTTTTTTTCTTTCTGTACTATATTGTCCTAAAACTAGACGCTGGAAGAATTTATTGCTATTGCTGAGACAGAAAACCAATTATTTGCAATCTCCACTGAGTTTGAAGTATCACAGAGAGAATTGGATTCACGACGATCCGTGACCCTCTTCCGGATTAGCCTGTTCAAGCCCATTGGTCAACATCTCACTTTTTACCCACAAACTTCCAATTCGAAAAACTCTTCAAGCAGACCTTTTGATGCAGATCCGAACCATACTTCAGCAATCTATGACGTGAATATCTTAAATAAGAAAAACCAATGTCATGCTAAAATTTGATATCTTAACCAATAAAATTTTGTTATGTAATCGTCCATTTTCTTAATCATTTTTTGGTCTTGTCAAACTGCTCAAGACAAAAACAGTAGTTTCTTTATTTTGAATAGAAATTTTATTTGGAACCCTGACAACCTTTTTTTTTCTCTACTTTTTTGTCCTGAAATTAGACGTTGAAAGAATTCATTGCTACTGCTGAGACAGAGGCGGCGTCGGTGACAAATCTGTACTCTGTTGTGGTAATTTTCTAGATCGAACTACCATTTTGAGTATTATTAAATAATGGCAGGTAAAGGAAGCAATCTCATCTTATTTTTCATTCTGTCCTTTGGTGGACAGGGTAGAAATGCAGACGCACTTGCATTATATTTTGGTGAGGACCCGGCTCGTTGTCCATTTGAGCAGGGTACGCTATGTTCCTTACGGTTGCACTTCTATTTTCTCACTACATGTTGATATGAAAATATTTGAATCGAGTTACTTCTCTGTTCTTCCAAGTTTCTGTTTTCTCGTTAATAATTCTGCACCTAATCATTATTATCATGTGTGCTTGATGAATAGTCAATTTCTTTCCTCTCTTGAGAAGCTGGGTCACTTTGTGTTTAATATTCTTTGGCTGGGAAATTATGTAAACTGGACTTTGTTTTGTTATCCAAAATTTTTCGTAGTTTTCCCATTCCTTCCGTATCTAGTTTTCATGAAAATGGTTGGATGAAGAGATGTAGAATCATGACCTTGAGTTTGTGATAACATTGTTATTCATGGTACTTGCATGTCCTTGTTATCAACTTCAAACTGTTTGGATCGTACAATTATGTAATGCTCGAGGGATTGATGTCGATTCTTTTTATTCTTACTCTGTGATATTTTCATGGCTAATTCTACACCAATTGGGCTGCAGTTATAGTGACATTATTGAACTTTATGAGATTATTTCGGAAAGCCCACGAAGAGAACTGCAAACAGGCTGAATTGGAAAAGAAAAAATCCGATAAGGATGCTGAAATGGAGAATGCCAAAGGAATTAAATAGGTGATATACTTGAGTTCTCCTTAGCATGGGAGATTGAGCACTCGTCCTACATCGACGACTCGATTGTCACCTTGCAGCCAAAGGGAAACATGCCGTGTGACCAGCTCCGAAACACGTCCAATTGAGATTTTTTCTGCAGTGCTAAAACCTCAGATTGACTCGGATATGAACTAAATGGGATGTTTATCGATGCCTGCAGAACTTTGAGTTGGCCAAATTGTTTATTTGTGCATATTTGACCGGCTGCTGCTTGAATCAACAAAACCACGCCCCAACTCAACTGATCTTGGTCAATCATGGAGATATATTGGGTGCTGACTATCTTCGCGAAGCAAAGGTGTCCTCTGTGCTGGTAGCTGCAATCCTGAATAATGGGTTGGCTCCTCCAGCAGAATTTTTCAGACTCAGAAGAGTATTTTCAGTCCTAGATGAGTCTTTTGATTAAAGTAGGTGATTTGGTTTCGGATCTGACAATGCATTTGGCATAAATTTTTTGGGCAGAGAACAAATGCGTCGGAATTGCATCCTTGAAGTCAGTCCAGCCGTTCCACGAAACCGTGTACAGAGCCTCTCTAACCATTCCATACTCTAGAATGTAAAATTTTTCTTTTGTTTGATGTAACATGAAAATAGTTTCTCATTCGTAGATTTTTTTTTATTTTTTACTCAAACCCGTCGTAGTAGACAATGTTGTATAGCGCAGATTCATAGAGGGTAATTAGAAGACGGGTTTTCCCCACTGTAGTTGTAACATAAATTGAAAATATAGGCCACGTTTGAAATCTGTCGTTTCTCTTCAAAGTTGTAACATAAGTTAAAAGTCATTCATGAAAATCATCCATTTGTTGTCCTGATTTGGCTCCCTGCATTACCATATTGGGAAAAACTGTAAGTCCACATGCATGGTGTGACTTGCATTATTCCTTGATTGTTGTCCTTAGCGGAATCTTTGAGACAAGCATTGTCCACTAGAGCTTATGATTAAAGGTTCAAAACAAGAATTGGGTCAAGTGCTTGAAAAATTTGGTGGCTTTCGTAGCAGTTGCTGGAGATAATGTGGTGCCAAATATGCAATTATTTCATAGCATTTATTAAAGCCGTCTCTTTCAGGGGTTTATTAAAGCCGCCGTAAGATGTACTCTACTCGTCCTGAGAACAAACAGATGCTTTAACTTAGTAGCTGTCTTCACCATTTTATGGCACCTTTTGTTTTGTTTCTTTAATTAGTGCTCATCCACCTAAACATTTCTACTTTCTATTTGCGGATTTAGCTCTTCAGACTTAACCTAAGTAAGTGTTTTAGTCACTACCATGTCACCACCAGGTCTCACATCGATTAGAGATGAGAACAAAACATTTTTTATAAAGGTGTGAAAACCTCTTCCTAGTAGACACGTTTTAGAATCGTGAGGCTAACGGTGAGATGTAATGAACCAAAACAAACAATATCTACTAGTGGTGGACTTGGGTGGTACAAATGGTACAAGAGCCCGACTGTGAAAATTTGTTAGCGGTAGACTTGAGCTGTTACAAATAGTATCAAAGTCAAACACCAAGCAGTGTGCCAGCAACGATGCTAGCCCCGAAAGAAGGTTGATTTTCATCGAACGTTCTAAAGAATCCTTACTCTAGACATAGACGAAAATTTTCCATTAAAATAGATAAGCAACGCAATCCAATCAAAGGTACTAAAACCCAAACCCACATAGATAAAAAGCTTTCAAATATCATGAAAGATAAGGTTATTTACAGCTTGAAAGAAATAGGAATTGGAATGCAGTTTTGTTTTTGTTTGCTCAAGCAAGTTCACGAGTTGCAGACTCCCTATAGAGTAAAAATTATGAAGAGAGTCTCTGCCTGAAACCATCTCTCTCACTCATGGAACTTCTTCAAAGCCCTTCCAATGGAGGCCACCCACCTTCACCCTCCTTCTCACCAACATCCATCCAACAACAAACACACCTCTTCCTTTCCAGACACATTCCATAACCCATTCTGTAACTTTTGAAGAACATGGTGTTAACAATGGCGTCAAGTACCACAAAAACAGAGTACAAATACGCCACAAACATTCCTTCCACCACCACCCAACCTCCCAATCTCTCCCTTGAATGGTAACCTCCCACTATTCTGTACTGGAACAGAGCTTCAATGCCTGCCATACCCATATTGAAAGGCAGCGCCACCAACAGCGCCGTCGCGCTTCTCCCCTGAATCAAAACCCAAGCCTTAAGAATCGCCATGAATCCTCCTTTCCTCTCCATCCCCGACAACACCGATGCCAAATTACAGATTATGATGGCTTTAGCAATCGCTATTGAATACAAAAAAGCCCCAAAAACTGATACCCACATGATCCAATTGGGGGAGAAGAAGAACCCAAATCCCTGGAGGCAATTGAAGGCGAAAAACAGCAGGAAAAACACTGTTGCATTGACAGAGACGAAGACGAACGAATTGCAGACATGGGTCACAAGGAGGGGATTGAAAAGCGACATAATCGAAGAAAAAGACGGCTCCAAACTGGGTTTCTGCTGATTCAAAGCTTGAATTACACAGGCTTTTGAAATCAAAAGGAAAGTCAGAGAAAAGGGTAGAGAATAAATGGATGAAACAACCGTTTGAGAGAGCTTCTGAATGAGAATTGAGAAGAATTTTGAAGATATGGGGAACCCAGCAGCATCAAACAGAGCCCTGAAATGATCAAAAGCAGAGGAAAAAAGAGAAGACGAAGGAAGAACAGTTTGTGAAAGAAGAACAGAGATTGCATACGGAAACGCAAGAACAGCCGCAATTGAGGTGAAGAACTGATAATTCTGAAGAAAACTGTAAACCGATCTTCTGAGGAGCTTTCTTGAATCCTCCATTGGAAGAACTTGAATCAAAACGATGGGTTTGGGGCTATGAATCCAAAGGGTTGTTTGGTCATAATGAAGAAGCTGTTGATTCCTCCATATCTAACCAAGCAACCGCAAGAGGATGAGGAAAAAGTTAAGGGTTTGATATTTGCTTCCTCATTCAATTTTGATCTCTTTCTTTGAATTGCTTCTAATCCACTCTTTTTCCACTAATACTCATACTTAACCCAACCTCCAATAGAGATTGATTACCTAATGCTTCTTCATCTATCAATCTCATTAGTACTAATTATGATTTTTTATTTTATTTTAAAAAGTTATTTAATTATATTTGTCACCCGATCAAGATATCAAGGCATAATTTTTAAATGAACGGTTAGAAGTTTGAATCTTTAAGTGGGTTCAGGAAAAGCTCGGCCCCACCGATTTGTAATAATGTGGGTCCCGACATAAATACATTACGAAAATAATTGAATAAAGCCATAAATCCTATCTTGATAAGAAAAAAATAGTATTGAGAAAAGGCATGGACTCTATTCATTTATTAAAGGGATTCCATCCATGGAGGTGAGCCTATGGCTAAACTCCAAGCAACTTCAAGATTCCTTTCATTATTTGTATTAACTTTTTTATAATAATTTTTGTATTCATTATTAGACGTCTATAATATTTTTTTTTCCCTTATACATTAGTTCATATGATTTTAATTTTTAATGCCCTAAAAATATAAATTGTGCATTATTTCATTGATTATTATTATTAGGTTAAACGGTAAAAACTACCTTCGAGCTTTTTTTTTTTTTTTTTTTGTTTGAAAAAGAATGTTATTGTAAGATCTCGCATCGGTTGGAGAGAGGAATGAAACATTCTTTATAAGAGCGTAAAATCTTCTTTCTAATAGACGCATTTTAAAATTGTAAGGATGATGGCGGTACGTAATGGGTCAAAGTCAAAGCGGACAATATCTACTAGTAGTGGACTGAGACTCTTACAAGTGGTATTAGAGTGTGTTAGTGAGGACATTGGACCTTGAAGAGGGATGAATTATGAGATACCACATTGGTTAATTGTGGAGAATGGTGGGATCTCCAAGAGGGGTGAATTGTGGGGAAGCCTAGAAGGGAAGGCTCAAAGAGGACGATATCTGGATGACGCGTAATGGTTGAGAATACCCTACGAGTGTTACTGGGACGTTCAGAAAAACTTCTTTCTTGTTTCAATCTCAGAATAAAAGCAGTGACTACCCAAATCTGTTTGAGAATACCCTACGAGTGCCACTAAAACCGTCAATTTAAAACATTTAAGAAAAAAATGGTTGAGGCAATTAAAAAAAATGGAAGTTGGTTGGGTAGAAAAGCCGTTGGTGGAAAGGAGATGTAGATCTCACCTCATCAAAAAGACAATTTTTTTAAAAAATAAAAAGTTAGGTGCCTTTTTATTTTACTTAATTTAATTAATTACATTTTATTATGGATCTATTTTTTTTACAAAACATGGGACAATAATATTTTTTTGTAAAAATTATTTTTTGTCGCAATTTTCTAATTAGAAGAAAATATTAAAATGATTCCACGAGACACCACAAAAGCTTTGCTTTCGAGACACTCTACAATCTCGAGTTGCTTACAATATCCAAAAGCACAACAAGAGGAGAAAAAAAGAAGAAAGAAGGCGTCGTAAGCTAATAAATATTGAAGAGTTGCTATCACTGTAAACAAGCATAACAATTCGAGAAGGTGGATTGTGAGGTTCCACATCAATTAGAGAGATGAACAAAACATTCTTTATAAAGTGTAAAAATCATGAGGCGAACTGGCTTGGGCTCTTATAACAATTGGTAACCTACTAAGGTGGGTAAGATCCACCTAGTTGATTTGTGAGATCTTGCATCTACAACGAGAACGAACCATTCTTGTAACGACCCGAAATTTTCTACTTAATTTAAGGTCGCTGCTGTATACATACCATAAACATTGAATGCGGAAGACTTCATTTAAATTCCATAAAACATAACATTTAACTTAAAACACAGTCATGGACTTGCGTGTTTCGAAAACATCTTTAAAACAACACAACAAAAGACTCGAAATAAAATAAATAAGCGTTTAAGTTTAAAACGTTCTATTCTATCCTAAGTCTAAGAAAATAAATGTCACTATCCTATGCATGTGCCATGATCTTGAGTTGCGATGCCGTTGTCAGCCGTACAGGAATGCCTTGCCTTAACCTGAAAAATGTAGTAGCACATGACTTAAATATTTGGGGTTAAATGCAACAATCACATGCAATGAAATGATGGGACCTATCTTTCATTTCGTTTCGTTTCGTTTCATTTCATTTCGTTTCATGTCGTTTTCCCTACGGTGTAATCCTAATAGGTAATCGTGGATGTGTACCATATACTCTACACGCAGCCCATATGTGCGAGTATGGGCTCACCAACTAGTTCGCACACCGCTGGGCCACTGTCCCTAGCCGGTGGGCATGCTCTGGGGGCCCGCCGGGACCCGTTAAAACTAAAACCGTCACGGCAGCGCTATGCAGGGCATAACGATCGTTGTCCTGCCATTTGGATGTACGCGTCCGTACCCTCGTGATGGGATAGGGGTATCCCCCCAAATGCATGATCACACAATATGCATGAGGTCCCACTAGTCCTACAGTCATCATTTAATGAACATAACTCCGTGTCACGTTTTCATGCTTACATGTCATTCTCATTCTCATTTCGTTACATATCATACATATTCCTAACGGGATTATGTATCATGCAATTTACCATATTTCATGTCATACAATTCATTCAGTTACATTCCAATACTCATACAACAAGCCATAATCGTACAAGGGCACACATCGTCACATGCATTCATATCACATAAACTAAGCAGCATAAATAACATACATTCACGTTCACATGATTTCGTACTTAAGCACAATAATCTAGCATACAATGTATTATATCATAACCAAGTCATAACGTAAACACTTGATAGTCATATCGTTCTCTAACTTACCATAGCCTTAACGTTCTTATACCTATCACAGACATATCATTACGTGACGTACCTTAGTCATATCGTCACAAGAACGTACCCTAACGCTATCGTTCTATCAATCTATCACAAACCTATCCCTTTCTACCCATAACTTAACCGTATTCTTTCATCAATCTCTCCTATCCACAACACTCCGGTATGTAACCTAACTCTAACGTTTCATAATATAACATATAGGAAGCATATCGATCCACAGACAATTCACACATATCAATATATATGACACGTACAGAACCACAGGGTACGTGTCAACATCAAATATAACCATGCCGATAGTAAGGTCACTTACCTGGCTAGCTTAAGTCGTTGTCACGAATATATCTTTAATTAAAGTTCGATTCCGTCCTTTGAAATCCGAGTCAACCTATATGAGCCTATGACATTAGTTTCAGGTTTGAACTCTACAGCATTATTTCTCTAATTTACATGGGTCCATTGTTAAAAGTCTGAAATGTTATATATCTATAATTATACTTTTATTAAAAATTTTATTTTTCGTACTGTTGTATAAGAAAGTAGATGTAGCTTTTTCAAGTTATTTGGGTTTTACTACTCTCTGTATTTACCTTTTTCCCTCTATATTTAGTTTGTGGTTTTTAATTCCCTAATTTTTTTTTATCTGTTTCCTTTAATTCTGTTGTCATGCTTTCCAAATTTTCAGTGATCTCTGTTTCCAAATCTTTTCTTATCTTAGTGTTTCCTATTCAAAAGTTTTTTTGGTCATTCTATCTTTAATCTATTCATTTGTCTACTGATAGTGATTGACTATAGAATCGAATAAATGATTGACATTTAGATTCTAACTCAAAACTAGATCATTGTAATAATTCAATGAAGATCATTTCTAAAAAACATAGGATAAAAGAAAATAAAGATTCATCTTTAATCTATTCATTTGTCTACTGATAGTGATTGACTATAGAATCGAATAAATGATTGACATTTAGTTTCTAACTCAAAGCTAGATCATTGTAATAATTCAATGAAGATCATTTTTAAAAAACATGATCATTTCTAAAAAACATAGGATAAAAGAAAATAAAGATTTAATATATATCTTGTTGATGGGATAGGTAAATCTCTTGTGAATCCCAAAAGGTCGTTCTCATTTTTTTTTTAATAATTATTTTATTTTATTTTTTATTATTATTATTTTAACTATTTTTATAATTATTTTTATTAGTTTATTTCTTTATTTATTTTTTTGCTATTACAATTCTTCACATAGTGTAAAACCTCTTCCCAGCAGACACATTTAAAAAATGTAAGTCCCAAAGGAAAAGTCGAAATCCAAAGACGACAATATCTACATGGGCTTGGGCTTAGACCGTTGCATGATTACATATAGCTTCCCTTCAAAGACGAGATCGAAAAATGATACTGTTATTAGCTTCTTCTACAAATCTTAACGAAACTGAGACAACAAGGAGATTCATATACACAGAAGATTCAAACTGGATTGAAAAATGAAGAAACGATGTAAAAAAAAAAGGGCAATAATGATAAAATCTACACAACACTCTGTATGAACACCAAATTTGGTTTTGGAGCTGAAAATGTATCAGCGAAGAGGAGTATGGCGAATTCCATGTAAAAATTGTTCATCTTCCCTGAAAATTTCGAACCTCTGCAAACAGAGGAGCACTCACTGACACTTCAGAAGCATCATTACTCGCAGAAGCACTGCCTTTTCCTTTGGGTTCATCGTCGTTTCCTTTGTCCAAAGCCGCCAGCCCTTCGCACTTGTCTTCCTCTGGGTCCTCCAGCTCTGACACTGCCTCTTGCAGCTGCAAAGCATATTCTAAGTTCCACAGCACATCTCCCATGCTCGGCCTGTCCACGCCATACTCACCCAAGCATTTCTCTGCTGCTTCCACGAATTTCTTCAGCGACCCCTGTACTATTGAGCTGCTAATAACAGGATCGATTATCTTCTCTAGCTTTCCTTTTCTGTAATTCTGCATTGCCCACTCCGCCAAATTCACCTGTATGTGTTCACAATGAGCTATAAGAATCGATGAGTCTAACAAGAACTTAACATGAATGAAGCGTTGGATTAGCAACCTGCTCTCGCGGCAATGTCGGGTTTATCACTTGTCTCGCGCATAGGACTTCAAATAGAACAACCCCAAATGAGTAAACATCAGATTTGTCAGTCAATTGTTGTCGTCTGAAGTACTCTGGATCGAGGTAACCGAAGCTTCCTTTCACTGCAGTGCTGACATGGGTCTGTTCCAGTGATGGGGCGGCTTTCGAGAGTCCAAAATCAGAGACTTTAGCAACAAAATTCTCGTCGAGGAGAATGTTTGTGGTCTTCACATCACGGTGGATGATGCCCTGAGCTGCACCGGTGTGGAGATAGTGCAGCCCACGGGCGGCGCCTATGCAGATTTCGAGCCTCTGTTTCCACGACAATGGAGGGAGATTTGAGCCGTATAAATGGTCGCGAAATGGGCCATTGGCCATGTATTCGTACACAAGAATCATCTCGGATTGCTCGTCGCAGTAACCGATTAGGGAAACGAGATGGCGATGGCGGAGTTTGGAGAGCATTTCGATTTCAGTTCTGAACTCGTTAATGCCTTGATCAGAGCTAGGGTTTCCTCGTTTGATAGCGAGTTTGGTTCCGTCTTCTAATGCTCCGACGTAGACTTTGCCGAACCCACCAACGCCGATCACTGCTTTCTCGTCGAAATTATGGGTCGCAACCTGTAACTCATTGAGGGAGAAGAAACGGCCGAGGCCGACATTGGTGTAGATACCTGAGAACCCAGTCTTGCTCCGGCGAGACCCAAAAACGCTTGATCTTCTGGAGCTGCTTTTGCTAGAGAAGAAACTGGATTGATTTGAATGCAATGGGAGAAGCCATGAAGAGAAGCTCTTCCTCTTCTCCCATCCTTGAGGCCTTTTCTGCCATCTCAAGAACATTACTCCAAGAAACAGAACCGCCATCACTCCCATTCCCAAAGCCACAATAGCTGCAATCTTCATGGTGCTAAATCTTGAGCCTCCCATGTATTTTCCATCCACTGAAAACAACCCATCCAAGCTCTGTGCATCGTTGCTCATCTTCATGATCTCTACACCATTAAGGATTGCATCTTGAAGGCCTGAATTCAGATTGGATGGACCGACCTGCGCGTTAAGAATATGAATAAAAGATTAAAACAACCCTCTTCGAAAAATTTTATCTCCAAAAGCAAAGTCTATAACTAAGAGATATTGTTCATAATATCAATATTGATATTATTTGAAGTGAAGCGAACTTGGAGATTATTATGAGGCAGTATATATGGGTTAATTTAGAAGATAATTATGAGTTTATATGAGCCAGGAATAAATCTCTCTTCCAGGCCTTATGGAAAGTTGAAAGCAAAGTCACGAGAGCTTAGCTTAAAGAGGACAACATCATACATTTATGGAGAGTCAAAAGCCTTGAAGATATAGTTAAAAGTGAATGAGCCTCGATTAAGGGATGCTGTTAGAGGGCTAATAGACCTAAGGAGGTTCTATAATGAGGGATGCTGTTAGAGAGCTAATAGACCTAGGGAGGTTCTATAATGTGTTAGGAGGATGGATTGTTGAGGATTGTAACATTAACAACATGAATAAGCTTATAAGTTTGGTAGCAGTTTAGGGAGGTGACCTGAATCATGATGGTGTTGTTCTTGACGGAGGAGGCATTGAGGACGAGGTCTCTGTAGTAAGGAGTTGAAAGATCGCCGGTGAGCTGAGAGAGGTCAAGATCTGCAATACCCATCATCCCATTGATGTAAACATTGAAGTACAAAGTGTTGAGGACGGAGCTCACAATGTCACAGAAATGGAGTCTGATCAAATACGAATAGCTCTGCTCCACATTAAAACTCCAGCTCATATTAAAGCTTACTTGCATTGTTTTTGAATCTTGCAGATCCTCCGCCGTTGCATAAACCCAATATGGAGCAATCAATGGAGTCAAGTCGTTTCCAGGGTATTTAATCGAGTTCAAACCCACAGAAACGTTCTTAGAACCTTGTGGGAATCTGTTAAAAGCATCATCTGTTTCCCACGTTCTTGACAACGTATCGTTTCTAGGAACAATCTGAGGCCCTCCGACATTAACACGGTAGCAGATTTCCAGAGCGAAATGAGACAATCCGCTAAAAAACCCTACCGGAGAAACAGAGGTGGCGGAATCGGAAAACAGAGGATCTGGGGCGGAGACGATTTCGATGGCATTGATGAACGCCGATGAATTCTTCTTTGGTTTGAATTGAAGGGAGAATCGATCAGTGGTGATGTTGATTAGATACTCCTTGGAGACGATTTTGGAGTCGGCCTTGATTGAGAAATCGTGGAGGAGGACGAAACTGTCTGTTGTGACAGTGAAAACGGAATCGGAGAGATTATAATTAGGGTGAGGAAGAGGGTAAAAATAGAGGCGAATCCAATGGCGGCCGGCCTGAGAAATGAAGAAAGTGTAAGTGGAATCGCTGGGGAAGATTCTGGCGGTGCGGAAGAGAGGCAATGCCCAAGAAGACAGAGGCGAAACAGTGGCGTTTACGGGAATGGAATCGATTGAGGTTTGGACGTCTTCTTCAGTGGCAAGGAGAGAAGTCGATTCGCGATCGGATTTGAAAATCCGGCCGTCGTCGAGATGGGTTTGCTCCGGCGAGCCGCAGTCGATCAAGTAATTGTCGCGAGGGGAAAAGGGAACAAAAGAGGGATGAATAGCAGAGGAGAGAGAGAAGAAGAGGAATAGAGAGAGGAGGAAAAGGGAGGAGGGGAATGGAGTGGTACAGAATTCTGCCCCCATGGCCGCCGGAAGTGGAGGAAGTGGAGACTTTTTAGAGGTAGAGTGAGAGGGGGAGCGGCGGAGGAGGAGAGGAGGAGGAGGGCATGGTGGAGAAACGGCGGAGAGGGAGGTAGATTAGAGGAAGGAGGGAGAGGGCATGCAGAGTAACAGAAGATGGAACACAACAACAAACTGCGTTACATAGAGAGAGAGAGAGAGAGAGAGGCGTTAGCCAAAGGGCATAGCCATTGCTTTGGAGTTGGTTGGAGGCAAGTAAGTGAACTACGTGCATACCTCTCATGCATCCTTCCACCTTCTTTCAATCTTATTATTAGACTTTTTCAAGTTTAATTATTACCTAATTTTTAAGTTCGTTCTAATCTAGTTTTTATTTTTGTTTTTGAGCTGGATCTCCAAAATTTTACTTTGTCCTTCAGAAAACCTTTAATTATCATTTTAATAGCGTTTTAAGCTTTCATTCTTGGTTTAACTTATATTTCTTTTTACTACCGTACCTTTGTTACAATTTATTAGATATAGAAATAAAAATTTTAAAAAATTTTAAATTTTAGATAACTATTGGGGTGGGTCCCAAGAGCACTGGAATTGATCGGTTTTCCGTTGGATAACGACCAACTAACTCCAAAGGCCATTGTCCAATCAATAAATGTAATTTGAAAAGCTATTCCTTTTTCTGTGCATAATTGACAGAAATTAAGCTAAAAAGAATGTCAATATATTAGCATTTGTGAAGCCGTGGTAATGCATTACCTAAATTATAAAATAAAAAGAAAATAGAAGAAACTTTCATAATGCACACCACTAATACTATTCCCTTCAAAAGTCTTCTTTATTTGATAATATTATCCTAATTTTGACCCTTTTTTATAACAAAAAAATAAATAAATAAAAATAAATATTGCAATAAGTAAACATATAAAATAAATAGTAAGAAAATCATATTAAAAAAAATAAAAATAGAGTTATTTGTCACATTAATATCCTAATTAATATCCTAAATTAATATCCTAACTAAGTACTAAGTACAAGTAAAATCCTTTATCTATGTACGACATTGAAGTATTTATATAGAGAAAAATCTATATTACCGTAACAGCTCAAGTCCACTACAAGTAAATATTATCCTATTCAGACTTTTCTCAAAGTTTTTAGAATGCATATTTGTACTAGCTGCTGAAATTTACAAATTTAAAAGAAAACGAATACTATATATTCTCCTGTTTCGAATCTCTGTGAATAACAACAAATTTTCCCTTCAGCCATTGTTCAGAGATGAAGAGGAAAGATAAGACGACTTTCATAAAAGCTCCAAAAAAATAGTGGAATACATATGGTGACCACAATTCTTCTTGGAGGACTTTATAATATGATAAATATGTGCCTATATGAACCAAAGAATGTTGAGTTTCATATGTCAACTTCTTAATGGTCAATCATAATCTGCAGAGATTTTGACCAACAGATGTTACAGCTGTTTACTTATCATTGCATCTGACACCCCTGTTCTTCTGCTTTGAGATATACAAGTCCACGCCTTATCCTCTGCACGTCAATACCAAATAACAGCCATTAAAATAGACGGAAGGTCACCAAAAGAACAAGAAGGGAATCTACAAATTTCATTCAAGATGATCAGTTTAGAATGTTTGGTCCATTGTCGGTAATGTGGATTGCAGTACTGGTTCGATGAGAAACGGAAGATGAAGAAAGAAGGACAAGAACGATAAGAATTCATAACAGTGTTGGAAAAAGGATCGATTTAGCTTTTTCAACACCATGAGAAAGTTGCTTATGTTTAAATAAGCATATGTATCATACTGGGGTTTTCTATAAAAACTAGCTTAACATGGCAAGGCCAGAACAAACAGTTTCTATTTCGGTAAAAGGAATTTTGGTACCTCTCTTGTATCTGTCATTCGTAGAAGTTCCAATCTTTCCAGGGGCCTCCGATTTGAAAGGGTAGCAAGCTGCAGCAATAAGGGATTACAATCAGCTTAAAGATTGTGAAAGTCCATGAATAAGTTTGATGAGATACAAGATGGAAAAGCTACCCAGAAGCTGAACCGTTCAGGATCTCGTGATGAGGGCATCATTGCTTCCACATTAAGAAGTCTATCGTGTTTGCTATGATCTGTCAAAAATCCCATTACTGGCCAAATTGTGTTGCATGAAAAAGTGTGCATGAATGGAGAAAAGAAGATCAGAATTGGTCTAATAGTTTATTTTGGCATGATATCATGCATGTGAGAAGGCAAGGGAAAGGCTGCTGAATTCAACAAAACTGCTCCTTCAAGACAAATCCAAATGCAACAGTGTAGGTGGAAAAGTTTTTAATCGAACTGCACAACCAAGTCAAATCAATTGCACAAAGGGCAATATCGTATGATAAACAAGTAGAAAAAAAAATCATTTTCAATTTTGGAGATGTGGTGCTGGGCTGCTGGTACCTGAGTTCTTCATCAAGCTTTAACCACTAACAACATCGTAATTATGATGTTGAGGCAGGGACAAAATAGGAACCACCAGAAAAGTTTAATTTTGAGCAGACTCGTCTCTTTGAAAATAAAGATGTCTAATAGGGAACAAGTGGAAAAAGATACTCTAAATAACTAAATTGTGTGACTTGATCATGTTCATATTATATTATTTATAAATTACAGAAATTAGAATTCATAGTGCTAAGAAACAGTTATATTTTGGAATCTCCATCTCCTCATCTTTTTTGCAGATTGACATTCATGACCTAACATTGACATTTGGTGCAATTGGTTAACTTCCTCGAGGGATGCCAAAATTTTCTAGGCAAGCAAGCCTCGTGAGGAACCAACCACTCCCAACAACAATGGAGAAGCTCGATTTTGAATAGGAACAGGACAGGGATTTAGAACTTCTCCTTCAATTTCTCTTTACCTTAATATTATCAACTGACAAAACCAATTCTTTCAAAAGCAACAGCTAATAAGAGAGATCGCAAATATGCCTATGCATCATCTGGATAACAAAGCTAGAGAAGGTATTCTGTTCAAACCCATTGTACTCATAACCTTCGAGTATGAGTTAGGGGAGCATAAAGAGGAAGATGATGGTTTTCTTGTCTACAAAATTGTCTCTTCTTGTGAGCCCTTTAATGATCCATCTTCATATGTACCTGTTTCTACTCAACCACCTATTACTCAGGTTTTTTTCAACAATCACCTCTTTCGTTTACATGCCCTATACCAGATGCTTGTTCGTCATTGGATCCAAGAACAAGCGATGTCCTATTGTTATTCATAAATGTAAATGTTCGTGCACTTATCCCATTTCCTATTTTGTTTCATATACCGTTAAGTCATCTTCAACCTGTTTTTTCATTGAATCCCTGAAATATGTATCTATCCCAAAAAACTATTCAGAAATCTGTCATTTTGGTTGACATGCTAGATGACAATTGTACTTGAGATTTAGTTTCACTTCTGGTAGGAAAGAAGCCTATGGATCTGTAGCTCGATTGAAGCTCGTCTTGTTGTTAAGCCTACACACAAACTCGAGGCATCGACTATTCTGATACTTTTTCTTTGGTTGCTAAATTGGCTTCTGTCAAGTTATTCGTTTCATCAACATCCCTTTATCAATGGCCCTCGCATCAGCTTGTATTAAAAATGTTTTCCTTCATGATGATCTTCAAGAAGAGGTGCATATGAAGCAATCACCAAGGTTCATTCTTAGGGGGGTAATAGAAAGGTATGTGTTGTCTTCGTAAATCCTTGTATGGATTAAAGTAGAGTCCACAAGCATGGTTTGAAAAATTCAGTCAGGTGATTGAAAACTTTAGAATGAGGAAAAGCAAGTTAGATCATTTTGTCTTTTATAAACGATTTGAAAGTAGTGTCATCATGTTGTCATGTATGTTGATGATATTGTCATTACCGGTAACGACACATTAGACATCTAATATTGAACACCTTTCTCCATAGTCAATTCCATACAAAAGATTTGGGAATGTTGAAATACATTCTAGGAATTGAGGTAATAAGAAGCAAGATTTATTGACCGAAGTAGGAAATTAGGGGCTAAGCCATGTAAAACCTCAATGATGCCCAACTTGCAGCTCACAAAAGAATGTGAACATTGTGAGTTGCAAGTTGGGCATGATTAATATAACATGCTCCAACTTGAGGGAGGAGTGTTAAAGTTGTTATATTAGTATAGTTATGTTTTTGGTGAACATATTAGTTGTTTTGTCTTTTATTGCCTTTTTACTTTCTCCTACTTAGGTTAACCTTGTACACTTGTATGTATATCTCTTTAGTGAATGGAACAGAGGATTTTCATTCTCTCAAACCTTTAGCATTTACAATTAAGAACTAAACTAGTTGCATCAACGAGTGGAAGGAAAAATACTCAATAGTTCCGTCCAAGGTCCAAATAAGGTCTCATACCATTCTCCTCTCGTTCAGAAAAATATTCATACCATAAACCTAGGGAGACCAAAATATATTCAACTTGAACACCAACCGACGTGGAATAGATGAATAAATCCACGTGAAAGTTACAGTTGACAGGGGAAAGTCAACAATTTCCGGAGTAAGGCCAAAATGAGAGTCAAAGTGATAAACAGTTGTCTAAGCATTGGTATTAAAAAATCAATTAAAAATTATCGTGAAATATTTATAATTGATCGGAGGTTTTAGATGAAAAAATGAAGAGTACAAGTATCCAAATTTTGTAATATATTTATGGGATGCAAAGAATATGACAATCTAATCCAAGCAAAGGAGACATCAACTTTTATGAAGTTGGGTAATCTGAAAAAGTGAAACAATAATAATTTGGCTCCAAAATTTACGAATCTATTTTTGATAGTCTTTAGAGAGTAAATTTATCAAATCAACACTTCAAGTACAGGGTAGATATACTTTATAGAGATGTGTTAAAGAAATTTGAGAAAGATTTCTTAAGAATTTCTTGAGACTTTTAGCGTCAGTTTAGTTCCAAGGAGTGGGATTGTAGAGGAGGAACTTGGTCACCCCTCTTTTAATAAAAGAAATATACTGTTAAAGAAACATAAGCGGATATCAAAAGGTGTACGAGGGGTTTTAAGGACATTTGGAGTTGGCTTATTAAACTGTCTTCTTTTCACTCTACAAAATCTTCTTCGTAACCGTTTTTTGTTATTACAATTTGAGCCTTTTCTGTAATTGATGTTCTCTTCAAGTTGTAGCGGGCTCTTTTCTGTAATTGGTGTTCTCTACAAGTTGTAGTGGGCTCAATTTTTGTTCTTCCACAGTTGGTTTTTGTTCCCAATATAAATGTGTGTGGGGACGTCAATTTCTTGTGGCAATTGAAGACAATTGTTTTGGAGGCTTTTGGTGTTCAGTTGGCTATTAACAGGTCGTACAAGGCAGCCATATACCTCCCTTCAGCCCTTAGTTACTAAGAATTTTTGTGATTGCCCTTTGTTTATCATAATTTTAAACTGGAGCCATATTTTGTAATTGTGTAGTTTGTTAGCGTTTGATTTTTGTTCTCGGCTCCTTTTTCTTTGGCTTTCCTTTTTCCCATGTTTTTGTATTACCTTCTAATTCTTCACAAGGAAAGTTGGTTTTTTCATTAAACGAAATAGTATTCTATCATAAACGGTCTTGAACAGGGGTCTTTTAAAATAATAACAGAAACTTTGCATCAAGTAAAATGAAATATTTACATCCAAATAAAGGCCAAAAAAAGCCTCTGTCCAAGGAGATAATAAGTAGCACAATCACTAAAATTAGAGTTTTTATTTTTATTTTTAATGATATAATCTCCCTTACCTCGTCTAGATGCTTCTTTTGCCTTCCTTATCCATGACTGAGCGTACTCTGCTGCATTATTTGTCATTTCCTGCAACTGTAAACAGGCACACAGATGCTTTTCAAGTGAGAAATCAACAAAAGAAGGGGAAAGCGGCAAGAACAATAGAAAACATGTTACTCAGATGTACATAAACATCAAACCTTACGTACTGAGTTTAGCAAATGAAAATTTTGAAAAACCTACTTTGATCGAAAAAGATAATTAATTGCACTAAAACATATCCCTATAATTTAACCTCTCAAAATGCCAGATCATGCCAGAAAAATTAGTATTGGTTAAAAATGGCCCCCAGCTCATTATGGAATATTAAGATCCTGGCCAAAAAGCAACGACTTCAACATCTGACTTATCTTTGAATATAATGTATCCGAAGCAAAAAGAAATACATATAGCAAATGAAAAGCCAAGTTTTCAGTAATTTACTTCTGCTTGCTCTCTTGTCCCTTCTGCGGGAGCTACATCATTGACCCATTCGATCTCTGCCACTCGATACCTGAATAAAGCAATAAAAGAAAATAAACCCGTCTAACTAAAACTGGAAAACTTTCATAACTCCTTTGGCTTTTGTAGCTTCTCTTTTTTGGGGATACAGAAACAAGAAGTAAATCCGAAAACCTGTTTCAAGTATGAGCAAAACATCAAAGTGAAGCAAACTAACCCATCTTGATCCCAAGATCGAATAATGCGAAATCTTCGACGACTTTCAATCTGCACAAGTTTTTAAAAGCAGGACATACATATGTATGAGAAAGGACAATCAGACCAATCGTATTCTAAGAACATGAATGCTTCTTCATGAGGCAATGAGCAGCAAGAAATTATAACTTGTAATTGTGGCATCCTTTACTTTTAAAGATAATCAACTTGAAAACATAGTAGGATTTCTTTTAATGGAAAAATGGTAGGATAATCCAGCCAAGCCCTGGCAGTGTGCCTTCTAAATGAGGTGAATATTCTTAAGCAGAAGAAACTACTATCAACGCCATATAATATTTCTACCACTCAATCTTTAAGCCACATTACTCTCGACTATCCATAACAAAGTGGCGCAGTTCAATTAAAATTATAACGTCACTCACATATGTACAAGAAAAATATCTAAATCACATATCAAATGAGAACATGAAAGGAAGTTCTTATGTTTACATCTTCAGCCACAATAAACAAAACTAAATATTTAATTTAGGATATGTAATGTATATGTTATGGACATCACCTACAAATTTACAGAAATAGCTGATATTAATGTTAAAAGAGATATCTACTACACCATATTGGATCAATTCACCAAGGTTATGAAAACAAATATAAAATAATACAAGAACAGATGCCTAACCTCTAGATAGAATCGTCCGTCCGCAAGAGGCTCACACCTGATAAGGAAAAAAAAACAATGGGTAACGTTTTCTTTTGATTAAGGGATATGAGGGGCCAAAGTATGACTGACACCTACTCGGTAATTTCCACTTCACATGCAAAATCAGCAATAGAACCTGTTGTAGAATCCACAATAACCTAGATGACAAACATACAACCACAACAGTAACAGTCAAGCCTTTAAGAAATTTATTATACCTTAAGAAAAGAGAAGATCAGGATAACTTCTTGAAAAAAAACTAATAGTTACAACATCTACCATTCCCATACGATGATTGCCTTCCATTACCCTCCGGACCTGTTATGTAAGTTAACGGAATTGGTTTAAATAATTCAATATGATAAACATAAGGTGGAAAAACGGCACCTGGAAGATTGCTAATTTAAAGAAAAACAAACTAACAAAGAAAAGAGAAATTTATGGCCAGAGAGAAAATCATTTATAGGAAAGGAACTTTGATTAAGAGAAAAGAAAAGTGAGTCCATAACTTTCATGAGAGAGAGAGAGAGAGAGAGAGAGAGAGAGAGAGAGAGAGAATTAAAATTTGTAAAGTCAGCAGAAGCACATAGGTCTCATGGAAGTATTGCGTATCAAGATAATCACAAGAAATAAGTTTATATGGCTTGTTCAGGATAAAAACAAATAAATTCATAGGCTTATTTATCTAACCACAAATACAGAGACAACAATTGCACCCTGAAGAATAATAACTATGTGAATAGAGAAGGACTTTAGGGTGTTCATTATTTAGGATGTGAACTCATGTCCTTGCAGTCACCATGCAAAATATTTGTGCTTGAACTTGCGGTACCAAAAGAGCCGACTAATTCACAAAAGCACTTTAGCACATATTGTTCCAAAAGGCTCCGCAAAAAAATAAATAAATAAATAAGCAGGCAACGTGCTGATTGAAATATCAAAAAACAAAAATTGAAAGACAACATGCTGTATACGTTACCAGAAATTTAAAAAAGAAAAAGAAAAAAAAAAAGAAACCTTGACCAACTCACCATAAGTCTGTAGCGGGGTTCAAATATGTGAAGCGGGAATTTCTGACATGGGATAACAACATCCATGACAAAAAGAGGCATTATATCGATACCAAAATTTGCCAAACCATCATGTTCTGACTTCCTTTCAGCATACTCCTCTGGAAAGTTCTTCTGTATAATGTTGCTCAGCGTAACACTGGTAAAAACCAACTGAATGTCATGCAAAAAAGTGATATCAACCGAACTAGATAATAGATTATACCATAATGTTTACTTAACAGGAGACATTTTCATGTTCATATAGTATCACTACACTACAAACAACAAACATGCACACGCATGTATATAAAGTCTGTAGCATGCATGCACTAAGCTTTTTACGTGTTTTACCAACTCTCAACGACACCTGGGGTTCATTTATGGACTTCCGTTCATGCTTTAACCAATTTTCATAACAAAAGCACATATTTTATGGGTAGAATGAAACCAAACATGACTGCTTTTTGGACTTCAATGCCATGCCCTGATTACTACAACATGAGCAGCTTACCTGATTGCACATGTTCTTGAACTGATAAAAAGAACTGTTCGGCACAGCGGACATTTATTACCTATAATTTCAATACACGATCAGAAAGACAATTCTAAGCTCTCACATCTCCCTCCAAAATAATAATAATAATAATAGTATTAGTAATGAAATGATAACTATTGAAATAGAAATGCCAACGGAGAGAGGGAAACAAAAACCACTAACCACGATCCATCGACTGAAATAAGCAAGAACGGCAAAAAGAATGCCCACAGGGAGTTGTGATGGGTTCATAAAGAAGCTTAAAACAAAGGGTGCAATCAAATTCATCACTACGATCTGGTAGCCCATGGCGTCCCCTTCCTGTCTGACTCACAGCTATCCTCTCCAATCTCTGAAGAGAAGCCTGAAGAGGATTGCTACATATTACAAGAAACAAAAGGGAAATTTTTTTCACAAAAAGGACATTCAACTAAATTACATACATTTCTATATGAAAATAGAAATATATTACCTTAGAGGGTCAATTTGAAGGCCGGATAGAATAATATCCTTTGCTATGTCATATTTTTCTAGCTGCATAGTTAACACAAAATTACAGTTATATGTATAAAAAAATATTTTCCTAAAAAAGCTAAAATTAAAAATGTGGAGTATTTAATCTTTTCTACTTTTATGATAAAGATCGGGCAGTTTTGTTCAAGCAATCAAATGTTGATGAAAATAAGGGTCTAAAATTTATGGAGGTACAAAAAAAATTGAGAAGAAACCACTGAAATTTTGAAAATTTGTAAAAATCATTTAAACAGTTATTTCAGCAAACTATTAAACTTTTCATACAAGTCTATAAATATAAGATTGAATCAATGTAAAATGCCACATATTAGAAAGATAGATTACACGATAAGAATAAAGAAAATGGGGCGGAAGTAAGATGTGCAAACACGCACATATACAAAGAGAGCAAATTATTGAACGAAGCATAAAAACTAAATAAATCCGTATGGTAGAGTGAGATGCTGAAAAAGGATATGTTAATCCACTACTCTAAGATTATGGGTGAGTTCCACTAGTAGCACAATTTATGGATGAGACTTAACAAATGCAAGTACGTAATGTACGAACAAAAATGTTGTCAAGTTTGAGTTGGTCTCGTAGCAGGTGAATTTTTCACCATTTTATTTCTTTTTCAAGTTTTTATTCCTTTAGATGTTTGTTTCTGTAGATTTTCCATGATTATCTTTTAATAAATAAAATTAAAAAAAAAATCTTTTTATTCATCACCATGATTGAAATTCTTAACATCTAGTTAATATTTCCATGCTATTCCAGAAGAAACATATTGCCCCTCCTATTGACCTTGACCATCATGGTTTACAGAAATATAGATATGTCGATTGGAAAATTTCCTCCCATTCTTTTTGTTTGGAAGTCAGGTAAATCTTATCTTGGGGGGTTTCAAAAATAAGATATTCTTACGAGAATGAGAGCATTAGCCTTCAGAATATATGGTTTCACTGATTTACTGCATTGGTCCATCAGCTTCTCAGCATCTTTTAGTGCAAGCTGAAATATTGTTGAAGAGTTAACAACGCAACCAATGTAATTCAAAAAGAAATATTTCCCATAAAAAATTGAAGTAGATGAAAAGCAATTAGAATAGAATTACTTCAGCAAGTACTGTAGGATCCAACCCATTCAATGGTCGATATTCAGAAGCAGACGGTGGTCTATCTTTGAGGAATCGACTAATCCTGTTTGTTGGCATCATAGTTACAATGAATGAATAATACTGAATGGAAGAAAGATAAAACTATTTATAAAAAAAACCTGATATAAGCAGCACTTCTGTTGTTGAGAATAACCGGATCACCTGGTTTGATGTTATTTGCTCTTGAGTAACACTTGATTGCCTGAACAAAAAATAAACTTGTATTTTTTTTTTCAGATACTGAGAATAAAAAACTGATCGTGCAATATAAACAAACTCATATGTGGAAGTTCATAGTTTAATGCATAATCTGAAGAAAAGTATTATACTTTCTCCAATAGTAAGAGAACTAAGAGAGCAAGAAGCGAAACATTTCACCTCTTCAAAGTTATTATCTCTAAATGCTCGGTTCCCATTTTGTACGAATTCAAAAACATGACTAAACATGTTCCATGTTAATGAACCCTCTCCTTCATTGGCCTGCACAAAATGAACAGTTTCCAATCACATTCTGAGACATGTATTAAATCAGAAAAGAACTGATGTTATCCTTCAGTTTTCATCTCAAAAAATATATATCAAAACAGGAGAAATACTTGATCTGTATCAATACTAAAAAGATAATTATTACAATCTTTCAGCTTATTGACCATTCATTCAGCAGCTGGCATGGATGCTATCTTCTTTAATGGATAATTGCAGGCATCAGCCAACAGGAACTTGTTGGGTCAAGTAAACTAGCCATAAAATCTACAGTAGCTGTTATATCTAATATTTCAAAAAAGACACGAGCTTGCATCATTATTTCTCATAACGATCAAGCTCAACGTTGCAGTGATTTATAGCTTTCATATGAAATATTTTACAATTTTTTTTTTCACATCGAAACAAGTCTACGGTAAATTATTTGTTTTATCTTGACTTTTTTTTTTTTTCTTTTGCCTTTTCCTTTTCCCTTAATTTAATGTCAATTAAAAAGTGAGTAATAGATGAATAATTTGCTGAAGGAGACAACTAGAAATGAACTACTCTGCTAGTTCTTTCCAAGTCAAGCTTGAGTTCATTTTTTACCAAAGCACTCTTCACAGCGATCATACACTTCAAATGAAACACGATTGGATATTCAGAAGTAGGAATGATACGATTGTGGAACCCAGAGATATTACAGGAGTGAACAAAAAAGATTAGAAATATACTAGAAAACAATTAATACAGCAAAAAAGAAGATAGTCCTGATAAATCCTCAAAGTTTCCTATCTCCTGCTTCCACTCGTTGAGCATTATAGAACAAGACAACACAGAAATGGTCGAGTTCTTACCTCGATTTCGCAACAAACAAGAAAAGCTGCATGTAGCTCAAAAAGAAAGAAAGAAAGAAAGAAAGAAAGAAAAAACTAAAACACCTCAAGGCTCAAAGCTCGGCACTTCGTTCTTTCAACACAACACATTGAATCAGAAAAACTAAAGCAAAAGAAAGTGAAAGAAAGAATAACAACCAAAAGAGAAGATAATCAATAACGAACTGACCGAAATGTAGTCGTCGATGTCGCCGAGAGAATCCACGGGCAAACTGTTCGAAGGATCAGCCATAGCCAATGCAGAAACGGATTGAAACTCTTCTGTGAGACGAAATTCAAGAGGATAGAAGAAAATTGAAGCTAAAAGATAGAAGCACTTTAAGAGCAAGTTGCAATGACCATCGTGTTCGTCCCTGAATCCTTCGTCCACACACGGACCAAATTCTACTACGTGTTTTCTCTCTCTATCTCTCTCTATATATCTCTCTCTCTCTCCAGCTAGAGGGCCAGGGGGAGACGAATTTCGAAGGGCTGAAATTTTTTTTAGTTATTTTGTAATTTTATTATTTTCGTAAATATGATTTATAATTTAATAAAACACACAAAAATCATTAATAAATAATGAAAATGTGTAGGAGCGTTAAATCAGAGCCGTAGGATGAAATTTCGAATCCCATCCAATTGTAGAGTGACAGATCTAAACTTAATGATCAAAACTTTATGGCATTCTGAGTTTTTTTTTTTTTTTTTTTTTTTTAATTTAATTTAATTTTGAATTAGTCAATAAAGTCTCCCTTTTCTAGAGATAATAAGTCTCCCTTATAATTTCATTTTATCCAGCTTAAATTTTAATTTATTTATCTCGTTTTTTATTTTAATTGGACTTTAATATAAGTAGAAAATTACTTTTTATTTTAAAATTTTAAATATTTTAATTAAGATTATGAATTCATAAATGAACGATTTATATATAAAAAAAAAAAGAGTGCGACGTTATAATATAATACCAACTATGGTCCAATAACTGTAATTAAATTGGACACGTAAGTCAAATCTTTCTCATCAATTTTTTTTAATACCATTGTGTGGTAAAAATAGTGAAGTTAATTGGAATATTACAAATATTTAGGAATAAAATTTAATGAGGAAAATGATAAAAGAAAAGTAGTAAAGAAATAGGAAGAAATGTTGTTTTGTTTCAAAGAAACGTAGGTGCCGCCCAATATGCCTTCGGCGGTGAAAGGTGTCGGCAGAAAAGGAAGTGGGAGTTGAGAAGTTGAGATAAGGGAATTAGACGGCACGGCAGGGGCAGGCGGCAGCAGTAGGGGAGGAAGCCATATCACTGATGCCGCCGAAACCTGCCCCTTCGGATTCCTTTCTATCTGCTAATGCCACTTGGGATGTGATTCTGATACCTATTCTGCCCTATCAACTTTTCTCTATCAATATCTCATCCTTTGCCCTTTTCCAGAGTGCAGTTCCAAGAGTACAAAATCGAATCATCCACATTTACCATCATAATTTACGTCTTATCTAAACAAATACGCTCGTATCTTGATGCAACTAGATTGAAAGGTACCTGTCAGAACATAGTTCGTTCTCCAAATAGAACACTCTTACTTTTTTTAAGGTTGAAAGCTCGATCTCTCGAGTCCTACATTAGGCCCGCCGCGTAAGAGAGATTCACATGATTCTCGCAGAATTGAACTTGGATCATTTCCCTACTGCAGGGCATCATTATCTTTTTTCCTGCATTTTTCAAGCTATAGGGATATGATTTGAACTTTATGTTTATGTTCTTATTTGTTTGGAAGTATCAGGGGATACTCCATCCCAAACACCTTACATAAAAGACCACAGACTTACCCAGAGGCGAGAATTGTTCATATTTAAGACAATTTCACAAAGATCATGCCCTGTGATATGCCATGTAAGTTGTAAAGCAGGCTAGAAACTAATGGACTTCTGCATATAGAGATACTGTTTTATTCTATGTGATTCCTTTGTTATCATATTACAGTTCGTTTCGTTTTGCGCTAAGATTCAAGGGGAAGTTGCATTCGTAATCTCAGCCCGTAAAACCACTCCCTAATCTATTGTAACAGTCTAAGCCCACCATTAACAGATACTGTCCGCTTTGGCCCGTTACGTATCGCCGACAGCCTCACGGTTTTAAAATACATCGGTTAGGGAGAGACTTCCACTCCTTTATAAGAAATGTTTTGTTCCCTTCTCCAACCGACGTGGGATCTCACAATCCACCTCCTTGGAGGCCCAGCATCCTTGCTGGCACACCGCCCAGTGTTCGGCTCTGATACCATTTGTAACAGTCCAAACCCACCGCTATACATATTGTCCGCTTCGGCTCGTTACGTATCACTGTCAGCTTCACAATTTTGAAACACATCTAATAGGAGGTTTCCACACCCTTATAAGGAATGCTTCATTTCCCTCTCCAACCGACGTGGGATCTCACACCTATGAACTAGCTAAGCTTTGCAACCATAGTAACCAAACTGATGGAAATGGTACATCATTTAGATCAAACATTGCATATTGACATTGCAGTTTCTGAATATCAGATATCAATGGGATGAGTAAAATTCACATACAGATCCATATGAACACATAATTAATAAGTACCAGCTAAACAAGTATTGGCTATGAGCACTTGAATTATCAAAGCCATACGGCAAACTTCTCCCCATTCTTCTTCCTTGGGGATTAGATATACTAAACAGCCTTGCTCAGAAATATCAAAGTTGTGATCTAGATTTGAATGCATAATATTGATATCAATATGATCGAGTCTAAATACAAAGCAAGAATAGTAACGTTCAACTCCTCAAAATAAGATCAAAGTAAAAAAGAACGGTAAAGAGAGGTAAATAAAGTACCTATACTCATTTCTGAAACACTGTCTTTTTAAGTTAATGAAAGAATTATGCTCTATCCTTCTCAGAACGAAGAGGGAAGAAAGACAGACTTGTATGAACTGCTGCCAGCCTTTATCTGCTATGAATTGACGTATTACATCATCACCTACAGGTAATCACACAAGAAAGTAATTAGCTCACTTGGTTGGAGGCGTGTTACTTCGATGTAGAACACGCCACCGAATATTGTTTTGATCAACCGACTCCAATGGAGTGGCTGTCTCGTTCCTGATTCGCTTGATCTTGGGGCTCAGAAGGCCCCTATGGCGAAATCCATACAGGTTGAGCACCTGATTGTCAGCGAAGTTAAAAGCCCTCTCCATGCTACTCAAGCACCTTTCAACTGGATAATCTCCATAGCTACCACAAGGCTTGCAACCGACAAAATGCGTCACGAATGGCCATCTTTCGTCGCCTAATCCAGGGTGATACTTCTCGATCATTTCCTCGTACCTATCGACTAATCCAGCCCAATAACCATGCAAATAGTATGAATTCTCAAGAAACACCTTATCCATCCATTGATCTTTCTGAGAAAGCAACAGATATATCAAAGCTGACTGATCATCAGCCTCAAATGCTGGCCTGCCCTTCAAGAATGCAGTCAAAATCTTCCCAGCCTCTTCTCGAATCGGACCCTTTGGTCCCATTGGAGCCCAGGCATCCAGCAAATCCAAAGACCATTGACAATTCCGAAACAAAAAGCTTCCTGTGTTGAGTGCAATCCAGGACTTCTGGTTAAACATCAAATCAGGATATCCATGAACAACCAAGTTATAGTTATCATATTTTTCTAGAGGGATCTCAAACACCATATCAGTAAACAAAGCATCACTATCCATCCACCAAATCCACTCAACCTCAGGGTGAGACAACATCAATCGCCGAATCAGCGGCAACTTGGCCCAATATCCAGCAAGTTCCTTGTCTAAATGAGCCAAATTGTATACTATTTCAATCCCATGAAGCCTGCAATAGTCAATCTTATTCTTGATTGCCTTCAACAAATAATGATCCCCAATTGGGTTATCACAGGGTTTTGGAGGAGAACCAGTAACAAGCAAGATCCTAGCTCTTTTATTAATATAATTAGGAAACTGAGGGTTCTGATCAAGCCAAACCTTCCGCTCCTGGTTCCAGTTTGCAATCTTGGGTCCGAGCGTGTAAGTGACATTAGGGTTTATTTGAGTCTCGGCAGGATCGTCCGGGTCATTGGGGTCGCCGTCAGATCGAATCTCGGCAAGGATCCGGTTGGTTTCTTCGATGATGTTTTGGTTTACAGCGTCGGCCTCGGAGCTGCCAAGGTTGCCGATGCCGATGGTGCCACGAAGAACAAGGATTGTGACGAAGCCACAGAGTATTGTGATCTTGATATTGTTGAAAGTCTTCTGGATCTGACGGCCACGTGGAATTCCAGGGAACCCACGGCTTCTCCTACCGTTGGCGGTGGCAGCAGTGGTCGGCAAACTATTCCCTCCACCGCCGGTTCTCTTCTGAGCTGAGATATTGTCTAATCCCATGCTTCTTCTTCCTTTTCTCTCTACAAAATTTTCACACTCGAAAAACAGAAAGATCTGACAAAATACTTCTTCTTCTTCTTCTCTCTATCCTCTTACCTTACGACGATTTGAAGCTATGGGCGATGAGGGAAATGGGTTCCTTCCCTCTCTCCAGCAGCTCTCTCCAGCATCAATTCAAGTATGTCATCAGTTGAGGGTGGCGATGGGTCATGAAGAAGAACATAGTTGGCCCAGAAAATAGCACCGACTGTGTGTCGAATCGAGGGGATTTCTTCGAATGATTCGATTTTTATGTTATTTGAGGGAAACAGATAAGTATGGTGGATTTTATGATAATATGATATGCATTTGTGTGAGATGTGATTGGATCCACTGTTTCTTTATAACAAATAGGGTTTTATATTATTAGGAAATAAAATCTACTTTCGTTAGAACAATTTTTAACACAAATTCATAATTTCCTGAAATTGGTTTTGAAAGTTTGGTACGTGTTTTGTTTGAATCAGTTTACCTTAACCTTGATCACCTATGACAGTTCTTAAAATCATATTTCATTCGGTAATTAATGTCTTTTAACTTAGAAATTATAATTCAAAATTATTTTATTTTAAAAAATGATGCGTATTTAGTGAATTATAAACAATATATTTCACAAAACAAATTATGAATTTATGAAGATTTTCCATAGTTATTATAATGTTCATTTAATTTTTTTTTTGTTGAAATTATTAGTAAATTTTTGGAGATGATGATGATGATTATTATTTTGGCAATTTTAGTAAAAATTGTAATACTTTTTATTATGAAGTTTAATAGGATGAAATTGACTTTTGATTTTTTTTTTTTTTTCGTCGTCTCCTAGATTTTATTACACTTTTTTTAGTTTAAAAAGAGAACGAAGTTTAAGTTGATATTTCTTTTGTCAGATGATTATAGTTGTAATGTCCTCTACTCAAGATAGTGAATCTGGATTCAATACCTAATGCAATCTACTTGTTTTGAGACAAACCAACCGAACTTTACAGAGAATATTTGTGAGATCCCACGTCGGTTGGAGAGAAGACCAAAATATTATTTACAAGGGTGTGGAAACCTACCGCTCAGAATGTTTTAAAAATCTTGTGCTAGCCGTGAACTTAAGCTGCTACAATATTCACACTTCTTAGTTCGGTGAGAGTGGAAAAGAGATAGAAAGAACAAGATTTTTAATGGGTTAAAAGAAAGAAATCAAGGCACTGGTAGGGTTCGAATACAAGGAATGTCGAATTTGTAGATTTGAATCTACGCTTTCAACTAAGAAATACATGTAAATTATCAGGAACATGCTGCTACAAATCCATATCTTCACAAAATTATCAGGAACTTCACAGAGTATCTATAAGCCATATGGGTTTGTTGGAAACTCTTCTGGCTTATATTTGAATGCACAATACTGATATCAATATGAGCGAAGTCTAAATACATAGCAAGAACAGTAATGCTTCAACTCAAGAGAAGATCGAACACAAAAGTATCAGTAAAGAGATAGAAACAAAGTAGCTATACTCATTGCTGAATAACTATCTTTTTAAGTTAATGAATGAATCCCACTCTATCCTTCTCAAACGCAGTATCAATCAAAATGACGACAAAAAATAAGCAAAAGACAAACTTGGGTATGAACAATTACCAGCCTTTCATATCTGCTATGGATGAATTGACGTATAACACCATCACCTACAGATAAATCACACAAGTGATTAGCTCACTTGGTCGGAGGTGCATGGCTTCGATGAAGAACATGCCTTCGGATATCGTTTTGATCAACCGACTCCAATGGAGTGGCTGTCTCGTTCCTGATTCGCTTGATCTTGGGGCTCAAAAGGCCCCTATGGCGAAATCCATACAGGTTGAGCACCTGATTGTCAGCGAAGTTAAAAGCCCTCTCCATGCTACTCAAGCACCTTTCAACTGGATAATCTCCATAGCTACCACAAGGCTTGCAACCGACAAAATGCGTCACGAATGGCCACCTTTCGTCGCCTAGACCAGGGTGATACTTCTCGATCATTTCCTCGTACCTATCGACTAATCCAGCCCAATAACCATGCAAATAGTATGAATTCTCAAGAAACACCTTATCCATCCATTGATCTTTCTGAGAAAGCAATAGGTATATCAAAGCTGACTGATCATCAGCCTCAAATGCTGGCCTGCCCTTCAAGTATGCAGTTAAAATCTTGCCAGCCTCGTCTCGAATCGGACCCTTTGGTCCCATTGGAGCCCAAGCATCCAGCAAATCCAAAGACCATTGACAATTCCGAAACAAAAAGCTTCCTGTGTTGAGTGCAATCCAGGATTTCTGGTTGAACATCAAATCAGGATATCCATGAACAACCAAATTATAGTTATCATATTTTTCCAGAGGAATCTCAAACAGCATATCAGTAAATAAAGCATCGCTATCCATCCACCAAATCCACTCAACCTCAGGGTGAGACAACATCAATCGCCGAAACAGTGGCAACTTGGCCCAATACCCAGCAAGTTCCTTATCTAAATGAGCCAAATTGTATACTATTTCAATCCCATGAAGCCTGCAATAATCAATCTTATTCTTGATTGCCTTCAACAAATAATGATCCCCAATTGGGTTATCGCAAGGTTTTGGAGGAGAACCAGTAACAAGCAAGATCCTAGCTCTTTTATTAACATAATTTGGAAATTGTGGGTTTTGATCGAGCCAAACCTTTCGCTTCTGATTCCAGTTCGCAATCTTGGGTCCAAGCGTGTAAGTGGCATTAGGGTTGATTTCGGTCTCGGCAGGATCATCCGGGTCGTTGGGGTCGCTGTCAGATCGAATCTCTGCAAGTATCCGGTTGGTTTCTTCGATAATGTTTTGGTTTACAACGTCGGCCTCGGAGCTGCCAAGGTTGCCGATGCCGATGGTGCCACGAAGAACAAGGATGGTGACAAAGCCACAGAGTATTGTGATCTTGATATTGTTGAAAGTCTTCTGGATCTGACGGCCACGAGGAATTCCGGGCAGCGTACGGCCTCCCCTGTCGTTGGTGGTGGCTGCAGTGGTGGGCAAACTATTGCCTGTACTCCCAATTCTCTTCTGCGCCGATATACTGTCTTGTCCCATGTTTTTTCTCCCTTCTCTCTACAAAATTTTCACACTCTCACCTGAGGAACACTCGTATACAGAAAGATCTGACAAAAAAACTCCTCCGTCTCCTCTTGTCAAGATTTGGGGATATGGTCATGAGGGAAATGGCTTATTCCCCTCTATCCAACAGCTCTCTCCTCCACCTCGTCTCCTGCAATTCAATTATGTCAGCAAGATCAGAAATCAAAGAGGTGGGACAGAAAATGGGACAATCATGGAGGGAAGAGGTAGAAGAAGAAGAGAACAGTAATGGGTAATGGCGATGAATTCAATTCAATTCAATTCAATTCATGGTGGTGATAGATAAGGAACAGCTAAGAAAGGAAGAAGAAGAAGAGACAATGGAGAGATTTGTCTGAACAATGAACACCGACGGCGTTGAATTGAAGGACTTTCTGTGAATGATTAGAAGTTTAATGTCATTAAACAAAGATTATAATTCATGTCCGATGGATTTTATGTAAATCTCAAACGGCACATGCATCCGTCTGATCCGTGATTGGATCCACTGTTTCCTGATTATTGGGATGTTTTTTCTATTACACAAATTCCAAGTTCCTAGCTCCTTCTGTCACCACTCAGAATTTTTAGGTTTTTTCTTTTTTTGTTCGACAAAATTAGAATTAGGATAATCCGTTGAAAGCCCAACAATATTAATCGAGAAGAAAATAACTTCACATGATTTGGTTTGATAGCAAAAACTCAAAAAGTTATTTCAAAGATAGATTCTTACTTCTCTTGCCCATCGCTATGGTTTTGTCAGTTGCAGCTTCGTTTTGCTTCTCAGCCTCTGTTGTATTCCTCAAGAATTTTGCTATGAATCTTTCTTGTTGGCTTGAAAACCTCACTGAGCACCCAAGCTTGAGACCCATAGCCATGGCCTCCTCCCACAGTTGCCTGCCCATTTCAAAATCACCTCCTCTGCAAAGCTTTGGTATGAGCACATCATAAACTGGACTATAACCTCCCAATGAGCTTCTTTTCATTTTCTCGAACAGCTCAAGTGCATAACTTGCTCTCTCAGCTCCACACAGAATACCAATCAAATCAAAGTAGAATTTTCGATCCGGGATCAACCATGTCGTCCACAATCCCGTGCCCTTTCCCAAACCTTCCACTCAGGAACAGAACTCTCACCACAAGATAATAGCCAACCCAATCGGGTCGAAAACCAGATCGTTTCATCATGTCAAGGGTTCTACATTATATCCTTCACTCTCCTGATCCTACCAAGACATGACAACAATACATTACAACTGATTGAGTTTGGGGCAATCATATAGGATCTCATTTCCATCATCACATTCAATGCTTCAGGCACAAGACCTGAAGGATTTTTCTTAAGATTATGCTTGCAAAGGCACCTAAGGGAAGTGTTGTAGCAGAACAAATCTGGCATGGTTCCATCAGACTTCATTTCTTTCAGTATCCTTCTTGCTTATATAGATGCAATTCATCTACCCAATCATGTTTCAAATTCTTGAGAGACCACAAGAAAAATCTAAGCACTCTTCTAGTGGGAGCTTCGTTTTTGCAAGAATCCATAACCCGGGTTACGAGTGAAGATGTCAAGGATACTGTACATCTGTTCCGACTGGCTTCCAATTCATCTAGCCCACCGATCGAGCATGAAACTATTTTACACAGTTCTAGCGCAGAAGCTCCATTGTTACCGGCGGAGTGATGGGAGCAAAAGATCTAGCCCACCGATCGAGCATGAAACTACTTTATACAGTTCTAGCACAGAAGCTCCATTGAAACCGGTGGAGTGATGGGAGCATAAGCGACTCTGAGACGCATATTCTCGACGGAATATCGTCGAACACATGGCGTGCGTGCATTGCATTGTACAGAGCTCGGAGAACAACGGCTTAACTTCTCATGGTCGGCTTTCAGGGGACCAACTTAAACCGAGGTTTTAAGGACATTAAAACACTGGAAATTTATATGCAATGATTCTATGGACACGGCGCTTACCTTGATTTATTCGATGTATGCTCCTGTGGACGAACACCCTATTCTCCGATCGATGTCCGACGAAATAACCAAGCTCTACGAACCGTAGTAATTATACTGTAAATCAGTCCCCAAATTGTATGATGGAATTTGATCGTATCGCTCCGGATTTCTAACTACTTCTCTGGGATAAATTCATCTAGCTACTTGATTGGCTAGGAATCGACAGCAGTAAAACCAAGTGAAAACAATTCGGAAATCAGCCGCTTAAGGAACCAATTAACTCGAATTTAAGGGGAAGGGGTAAATTCATTTCAATGTAAAATTTCGAAGCGTTCTCTCTTTAAAAAACATTCCTACAGGTATCAGAAATTTCTCCAGAAAAGTATGAAGCCTACTCCTCTGTTCATATGTAAGCATGAACTGTTGATTAGAAACATAAATAACTGAATGATCTTCAAAATCGACCAGCAGCTTGTGGTCTCGATGCAAGGCTCACATAGTTGTATTATTTGTTCATGCCTTCAGATCCCCACCAACAGAGCCACAGGGACTGTCAACCAAGTCGATTAGTATATAGAAGGTAACTTGGATACCTTCTTTCATTTCTTCCTTTAGCTCTGATTACCCTCCAGGCGCAGCAAAACCCTTCGTGGGGGTTATCATTTATTACACAATTCTGCTCTCATGTGCCTGGAACTCTAGAAAGCTATCTCTTAGAGCGTTTCGTCGTCGTCGTTGTCGTTGCCAGTTGAAGAAGGTTGCCCATTGAGATCAACATTTGCTCCATTCCTCACAAATTGTCCTCGCACGCGAGGCCTCTTCTCAGCTAGTTGTTTACGGTTTTCGTACCTAATTTTCTTGTCGAAGCATCGCTCTTTCCTCTTTTGTCTAAATTTAATCAAAGCAGCCTCTCTTATATCAGCTTTACTCAGTTTCACTTCAGTGGAGGATGAGTTTCCAAATGATGGCGGCCATGGATGAGAACTAGGCATTTGACTGGGTTGCAAACATATATTGAGTGGATAATATGGAAATGGGGGCATCCCAGATGCAAGAGGGAAATGATGAAGATGACTGTACTGTGGCATTGCAGCTGCAGTCACATGATTTTGCCCATCATGTTGATTCTTGCAGTGGTAGAAGTCCGTAGACGGCGGTATCAAAACTTGATTCGTGCCTCCAGGCAGATAAAAGGGATACTTTGTTTGAGTCAGTAATCCAGCAGCGTCGGGTCGAGACTCGTCTCTTGGATGCTCAACCACCTGAGATAGCTTTTCTTCATCATGGCTCATTGGTTGAGAAAATTGTAGCTTTTCTTCATCATGGCTCATTGGTTGAGAAAATTGGAACGTTTGAGGACTGCTAGACATCTCCATGGACCAAGAATCAGGAACACTAATACTACTCCGACAGCCATCTCCTTGCGAATGGTCAATAGATACCAGTTGATCAGGTTCAGATGATAGAGGGTTCTCTACCAATTGTTGAGCAGGTGGTGCTTGAAAGTTGCTTTTCAATGCATTAGGTTTGCAATATGTAAAGAAGGCAGAGGACTCTCCGATTTTTCCGATTTTCAGTTTACACTTTTTAGGGCCTGAAGATAGTTGTGATCCGTGTCATTGCCTAAACATATAAATAAACCACAAAAAAGTGTTGGTAGATGAACAGTGTACTAACCGTTATGGTTTTCATCGATAAGTTGCACGTTAGGCTGAAATTGCAATGAATCAGCCGCAGGAGGGTCCGTGGCAGTGGCATCAGCAACAGAAGACTATAATGGAAATATGGAACTTTATAAAGGTGATTCATTCGACACTTATAAGAGAAATTAAGCTCCAAGCCTCCCAAAATGCCTAACATGATGCAATTCACATTGAGATACAGAAATCATAAACATACTGCCGAGAATTCACAGGGTTTATCAAGCTAAAGGGAATTTAAAAGGCTTTTAGAACAAGGTTTATGGAACATGCTGAAGTCCCCAGATTTGAAAAGGAATCAGAAAGTCTCAACTCCTAAGACATAAAAGAACAATATAGCACATAGGTATGAAGATTTAGTACGAAGATGAATATACTAACCATATCCTCCTGATGGGGCATGTCCAATTCTTCCTGACGGGGCATGTCCAATTCTGGGTTAATGCTCCTATGAGTGTTATCATCGGTGTCGTCTGAGAGAAAAGTAGTGCTATTTGTATTGCGGTCACTAAGATCCGAAGTCGCCAAATCAAAGTCGAAATTTAAAATTTGCTTCTCTGTCAACCCAAGCTGCGAATAAACAAGATGAACAAAGTTTGTAAGAGAACAAAATGGGAAAGGCTTTGTCGAGTCCTCAAAGGGAGCAAAATGGAATTGTATTATGCAGAGCCCTTATATTCACATCCAGATGAAAGATAATTGAAATATCTGTTGTTCAGAGTAAGCTATGACATAACTAAGAATTCAGATCCAAAACAACAAACATCATAAGAAAGTGCAATGAAAACGGTGAGAAAATGAAACGAGTTGCTAGAGACAAACCATGCGCCGTCTTCTCCATATGTGAGTCCACAAGTTTAGTAGCTCATTTGTTCGTAAAGGCTTCACGAGGTAGTCCGCTGCTCCGAGCCTCAAGCACTTAACAACAACAGATACCTCATCTTGCGCTGACATCACTAACCAACGCAAAACAAAGCCAAATAAAGATCACATTCCATTAGAAGGCTTTATAATCAGGAACTATCAGCAGGTAGCTACCCTGAGTCACTTACTAATCACAGGAATACGTCGCAGCTCTTTATCCCGCGTGACGTATTTGAGCATTTTCATACCTTTGGCCATAGGTAAATCTACTTCAGTTAGAATGATATCTATATCTGGTCCCTCAGCATTCAAGGCATTAATCACCTGTCTAGCTGATCGTACTGAAATGACTGTAAAAACAAACTTCACATGTCTACTTATACAAAACAAGAAAAAAGTTCAATACACGAATAACTGAATTCATATCTATAATGAGAAAGAAACAAAACCTAAAGCAATGAAATGAAGCCATACCCTGATATGAACATCGCAAAAGAAGTGTAAAAACCTCTTGTGAACTCTTGGAGTCATTGTCGCACAGTAAAATCTTCACCTTACTCCTATCAACAAATCCAGCTCCTCCACCGCCCCTATTACTTTCCCCAACGCCACAATCCTTGTTGCAATTGATCTCTTTGCATTCCATCATCACGACCCGCTCAAAACTCCCAAAACGCCAGTTCAAAACAGAGTAACTATGTTTATCAAAACAACTAAATCATGGATGCACATCCGAAAACATTCAGTATTAGAGCAACCCATTTCCCCCATTAGGGTTCCAAGTTCGCGCCCCAAATCTACAACCCCAAAGCTCCAACCCCAAGCACCAGCGCAACCAACCAGATCCCACAAACAAAGAAAACACAGAACTCGGCACAAGGCCGCATGTATCAATCCCTTCCATCAACCACAAGAAGATAGTACCAGATACCCCAATTAGGGATCATGAAACACATATCTCAAAGCCGAATTAGAAGTCAAACAAAAACCACCACCAGATTCCATGGCTCCATCCAGTACATTGATGGCGGCGGAAGAAGAACACGGACCTCGATCAAGTGAAATCTCCGGTGATGTTGAAGCAAAAGAAACAAAAGTTCACAAAAGCACCAAAACGGAGCTCTCTAACTGGATAGAATTTTGCGACTAACGTGCGCGGAGGGAAGACAATCGCGGGAATGCGAAAGGAGTGGGTGGTGGTCGAAGAGAGTCGAGAGGCGCAGATTAGCGAGAGTCTGACGTGGAGGAGAGAGAGGAAGCGGCGAGAGAAAAATGTATAAAATCAACGGATAGTTTGGTAGAGATGGAAAACAAGGCACGTCGATCACAAATCTTTCCCAGATGTGGAATGAATCTATGGCGTGTTTCCAATTTTTCCCACAAAAATATTTAAATTATTTTTCCTTTTATTATTATTATTATCGTATTTAAAAAATTATAATTTCAATTTCTAATTTTAATTGTTTAAGCCTCCCATTTTTTTTTTAAATTACAAATTTAGTTTTAAAAAATCAATTTTTTATTTATTATAAATTTGGCACAAATATTAATGTTCATCACTACACTTATAATTTAAATCATTATTTACCACTAAACGTGTTTAGTGGTATTAATTTTCGTTCTTAAAAGATTTTAATCTAATATTTCTATCCCTAATAGATTATTGAAATCTATTAGCAATGAACTCTATTCCTAATAGACTCCGATCACAACGCACGTAATTTATCAAAGACTAGAACTTAATTAACAATAATTATAACGAGATCGAAGCGTGAAGTATGCATAATATAAGAACAGGGCTGCTTTAGTAACTGGACAACTGTATTTACCAATACTAGGCATGGATGATCAACTTTTTGGCTACCAATCTAATGCCTGCACTCTGTTGATAGTCATATGTATCCAAGGAAATGAATGCATCTAAGATGGCGCCAGGGTTGATCAACCCTTCAAGCTCTGCAGCATCAAATCTATTGAATATCAGCCTTTGTGCAGCGCCTGATGGTTCCTTTTTCAACATCTCTGTAGCATAAATGGCTGTATCTCCACTTACTGCACTTGGAATACTGTGGAGGAAGAGGTTTTAATATCCATTACAAACTGAGCAAGGAGACAAATTTATGAACTTCTATAGCAGATGAATGGATTTGAAGCAAGCTAGCATGAAGATCATATGTTGGACTTGTTTTTTCTTAATTGATCGTAGTCAGTTTATACCATGTCAAATGATGCAACACCCCAACGCCACTATTAGCATATATTGTTCACTTTGACCTACGTGATTTTAAAATACGTTTGCTAGGGTGAGGTTTCCACACCCTTAGAAGGAATGTTTTGTTCCCCTCTCCAACCGATGTGGGATCTCACAATACACCCTCTTGGAGCCCAGCCTCCTCGCACCCTTAGAAGGAATGTTTTGTTCCCCTTTCCAATCGTGAGGTTTCCACACCCTTAGAAGGAATGTTTTGTTCCCCTCTCCAACCGATGTGGGATCTCACAATACACCCTCTTGGAGCCCAGCCTCCTCGCACCCTTAGAAGGAATGTTTTGTTCCCCTTTCCAATCGATGTGGGATCTCACAATACACCCTCTTGGAGCCCAGCCTCCTCGCTGGCACATTGCCTGTTAGGAATCACGACTCTCCACAATGGTATGATATTGTCCACTTTGAGCATAAGCTCTCATGGCTTTGTTTTGGGTTTTCCCAAAAGGCCTCATACCAATGGAGATAGTATTCCTCACTTATAAACCCATGATCATTCCCTAAATTAACCAATGTGGGACTCTCACAACAATCCTCAACATTGCCTAGTGTCTAGTGTCTAACTTTGATATCATTTGTAACCGTCTAAGCTTAGTAATATTGTCCGCTTTGGCCCGTTACATATCGCTGTCGGCCTCACGATTTTAAAATGTGTCTGTTAGGGAGAGGTTTCCACACCCTTATAAGAAATGCTCCGTTACCCTCTCCAACCAGTATAAATTATCGGATGGGAGTGTGACTTACTGTAATCTCATGGTCGGGTAGTTGAAATAACCATCCTTTCTCACCACGACAGGCCTCCACTCAGAGCCACTGCCAGAATCTGCAAATAATCTCTGAGCCACACCATCAGATGCTTCAAGAACCCTGCATAAACTTGGTGGTACATCAACCACAAAACTCAGCCTTGGACGTCCAGCGTAATCGGTGAATTTTGTGCTTATGCCAAACCGAACTTTCAGATTATTGCAAAGAAGCAGTAAACAGGCGTCATTGTGCAATAATTGTATTCTTTGGCTGCCACGAAAGAATGGAATGAAAGAAGCAGTGATGGAGGGAATAGAGACCTGATCTGGCTCCAGGAATTCAGGAGAGACTGAGACATGTTCTTGTTCCATGCTGATGTCTGTTCCAAGTGATTCACCTGTTATTTGGTCACTGAAAGAGTTCATGTTAAAAGAACCTGATTCAGTTGCATCAGATTCAGCCAGATTTGAGGTTCCATCTTCAGAGCTGCAAGTTACAAGGGATAATATCGGATGAGCTTCCCCTTGTTCATCTGTTAGAGATATCCTTGAACTCGACGAGTGAGTACTCTTATTCGAACTAACTCCGTGTCGAGACGATATTCCAGCACGATGCCTCGTAACAGCATTTGGAGGAACCAAACTGTTCTCAGGGAGACTTGACTCCTGTAGCCAGACACAACAGTTTAACTCTAACCCACCATGCTTTTCTAACGTAAAATGGTCAATATAAGAGCAAAGCTAATGCTACCGAGCTAATGTAAACTGCAAATAATGAATGAATCGTTTTAAATTTATAGATTACCAGAAACAAGACAGTTGCACAATACTTTAGAACTTCGAGATTCATCCTGACATCATCCAAACTCCTGGAGAATTACACAAGACAAAATCAGATAAATAGGAACTGCTCCTTTGATTTAAGTTCAAAAATTGGTAGCAAGTTTGAAGAATTACCTGTGTGTTTGTTGTCCTATCCCGAAATAGGTAGCAAGAGTAGCCATCTACAGTGGACAAGAAACGTCAAAAGCCATTATATCATGGATCATCAAGAAGATCCATGGTATAAATATTGTCTATTCTGGTTCGTTACGTATTGTCGTCAGCCTCACAGTTTTAAAACGCATTTGCTAGAGAAACATTTTCTCACCCTTATAAGGAATGTTTCGTTCTCCTCTCCTGACAACGTGTGATCTCATAATCCACCCCCTTGATACTATTTATAACAACTCAACTCTATCATCAGGAGATATTGTTCGTTTTGCCTCGTTACGTATTGTCGTCAATCTTACGGTTTTAAAACGCATCTACTAGGGAGAGGTTTCCACACTCTCACAAGGAATGTTTCGTTCTCCTTCCAACAGAGGTGGGATCTCATAGTTCACCTCCCTTGGGGGCCAGCGTCCTCGCCGGCACACCCCCTACTAGCAAATATTGTCCGCTTTGGCCCGTTACGTATTGTCGTTAGCCTCACGGTTTTAAAATGCATCTACTAAGGAGAGGTTTCCACACCCTTATAAGGAATGTTTCGTTCTACTCTCCAACTGATGTGGGATCTCACAATCCACCCCCTTGAGGTCCTAGCGTTATCACTGGCACAGGTATCTAGCTCTGATACCATTTATAACCGTTTAAACCCACTACTAGCAAATATTGTTCACTTTAGCCCGTTAAGTATTGTCATTAGCCTCATGATTTTAAAATGCATCTACTAGGGAGAGGTTTCCACACCCTTATCAAATATATTTCGTTCTCCTCCCCAACCGATGTGGGATCTTATAATCCACCACCTTCAAGGCCCAGCGTTCTAGCTGGCAATCGTTTCCCTCTCCAAGTTCAAGTTGATTCGAATTTTATATAAACACGAGGAGAACACAGCAAGAATGCAAGAGGAGAAAGAGTTTTTTACCTTCATGTCGCCAGCTCTCCTTCCAAACTTTTGTGTCAACAAGGCCAATGAATCAATAGTTCCTTTGGGTTGTGGTGGTGGCATACCAATTTGTGCAAAGGCCTCCCTTATTCTTGCACAATCAAATCTGAGTATGTTATGGCCTGCCCATATCCGCCCTACACAACAATATTGGAAACTCAGACGCAGGCACACAATAACATGATCAAGGAAGATATATGAGTATCATCGCGCGAGAGAACAGAGAGAGTACCGTGAAGGATATGGTAAACCTTGTGGGCAATTTGGGCGAAAGTGGGGGAGGAAAGGACGGCGTCTCTCGTTATGCCATTGCATCGCACCGATAAGGAGGAAATGAGGGAGAGATGAGAGGGTCGAACGAGAGTGGAATAGCTCTCTAACTCAACCAGCTTCCTAGGGCACACCAGAATCGCTCCGAACTCCAAAATTGTGAATCCCTGCCCTTGCCGCCTCGGAACAGTCGTCTCCACGTCAAAGAAGGCAATCTCCGATCGATCCTCCATCATTGAATCCATGAAATTGAAGAAGAAGAAGAAGAAGAAGAAGAAGAAGAAGGCGCGAAGAAATTAAGGTATTATAAGGAGAACAACACTCAGAAGCTTAAGCTGAACGCCATTGAAATCAACCTCGAATCAATTCCACTCTCGCTTTGATGAGATACGAACAGTCCATTGGAAGATTAAGTTAGCCATTTCCTCAATGGCAAGTTACGTGCAAAAACAATTCCAAAGGTAACATGACTGTAACTTCAATCACGCTTCTCCTTCTTCTTAAGTTATCCTTAATTTACTTCATCAACTTCTTAACTTCAAAATATGGTTGTGTGAACTATCTCTATTGGTACGAGACATTTTGAGAAGCTTAAAGTAAAGCCATGAGAACATAGATATCAAACATTCAAAAGTCACAACAAATCACTCCATTTGATTACAAATATCGAATATTTTTAACCTTTGTTACAATCTTAACTTAGAATCGACTTAGGTCCTGAATCATATTTTCAAGTTAGTTGAGTTAATCCGACAAAGCATGTTTCAACCCATGCACCAAATTTTTCAGTTTTCTAAAAATTAAACCTAGTCAAAACAAAAAAAAAAAAAACTCGGGTTGGATTGTGTTATAAGATCTCACATCGGTTGGAAAGTAGAACGAAACATTTCTTATAAGAACGCGAAAACCTCTCCTTAGTAGATACGTTTTAAATCCACGAGGCATACGATAATACATAATAAACTAAACGAATAATATCTAATAGTAGTAGGCTTGAGCGGTTACAAATGATATTAAAGCTAGACCTCAGAGCTAGACACTAAGTAGTGTGCCAACACATTCCTTATAAGAGTACATAGAGCGGTGGGTTTGGACGGTTACATGTGTTGTCTAGATTATTCGGATTATTAGGTCATATGAACACTTCTCTCGCTTAGTTGTGGCTTCAATTCATTCATGTACCGAGTACCATAATTTTTATATAATAATCCAACGAACGAAAGACTTAATAGATACGAATCAAAAGTTCAAACTTACACATATATTTAAGAGAGGAATAACATAAAATTTCATTGAAGATGCATATTCATGTTGACGATGGAGAGAGTCAACGCAGCTAACTGAAAAACATTCTTATTATTCTTAGTCAACGGTGAAACCACGCCTTGTTTTTCATGAAACCCATCTTCACAAGTTGAAGGAGCTTCCATGATTGAACTAACCTTCACATTTGCACCACTAAAACGCTTCTGTTTATACTCCCTTTTACATTCTTTCAGCGTCGGAATCGCATCAGAATAAAGCTCCAAACAATCATCTAAACACGCCTTAACGAACCCATCCAATGTCTTGTTCCTCAAAAGCTTCTTGACTTCACGTCGTGTGCTGGTTAAGTTGTGGCGCAGTAGATCCATGGAGATGAGCCCAAGTCTGTGGAGACTTGCCGAGCGGCTCCGATCATCGGATTCTAAAGACGAAACACAGAAGGCGTAGCTGAGATTTGGAGTGGTGGCTGCACATTTCTTGCATGTTTCTTGAACCATGTTGTGAGGGGTCGAACCATGGGAGAAGGAGGAGACAAGAATTACAAGGAGAGGAGAGAGAAAGAAGAGAGAGAAAGTGGAAATCATGTTTTTTTTTTTTTTTTTTTTTTTTTTTGGGTTTAATTTAATTTGAAAGAGGGAATTATTTGTTCATGTTTTTTTTAAACTCATGAGGTTTTATTTATAATTTGGGTGAGAGGGGAGGGGTCCATGCTTGGATAGTTTCCAAGGCTAGATTTAATGAAAATTATATATTTTTTAATCTAATTATTTCAAGTAAATAAACGAAAATAACCCAAAAAATTAAATTAAGTTTTGAAAACTAAAAAATATTTTTTATTTTTAAAAATGGAATAAAAATTTAAACCTTTTGTAAATGAGTAAAATAAAATTTTATTTTTTATTTTTTAGAAAAAGGAAAATATGGTATTTAGATAGAGACGATTAGTGAGAATAATTAATGTGTTTATATAATAAAAAGAAAATGGGAATAATGGGGCTGAAAAATTAGGTTTAATTTTACTAAATTTGATTGCAAAGCTACGTCGTCTTAACTTAGAAGTAATGGAGAAGTCCACAAAAGTCAAAGAGGTCGGGACCCATGCCGAAGCAGACGCCGAAGCAGACGCCGAAGCCGACGCATTCGGGTTTTATTTCCTTCTATTTTTAGTTATTTATTAGAACATGTGTGAAAATAAATTTTATATTTTATCTAAAAAAACCTATAAATTTTGTAAATGGCTAGAATTTTAAATAAAAAAATTCACTAATACTATTTAACTTTAAAAAATATATAACACCTAAGTTAAAAAATACAATTTTAAAGATAATATTAATCCTTTTAATTTTTATAAAAAATAATCTTATCGTTATATATAAACAAAAATTATTTAGGATATTAATTTTACTTTTGAAAATTCATAAATATTTTTAAAAAGTACATTAACCCTTTTGTCTTCGCTACATTAATGATAAAAGCATTTTTAAAGTTTTTAAGAGTTTGAATGTGTTCTATTTTAAAAAATTTAAACATATTTTTAAACGAACGTCCCTCCAAAAATAGTAATAAGGGTTTTTTTAAATGATATTATTAAAATTAAAAAAAAAATTAAAGTGAAACGTCTAAATTTTGTAATAATTTGATAATAATTTAGCTCATAAACTTTAATATTTAATAAATTAGTGTATCGATATGACGTCAACATTAGGAGCGGGGGGAAGGAGTTGGGCTTGGGCCAACTGGGCCCATGAGGCGGTCAAAGATAAGCCCAAATGCCAAAATGGATATGATCCAATGGGTCCTAAGCTGCGTACGGCTTGCCTCTTCAATTATTGCTTATCTTTACCTTTATGCCCACTTTTTACTCACCTCCTTCAATTTGTTTTTAAATTTTATAAAAATAAAATAAAATAAAATAAAATAAAACCTTAAATATGTCTTACCTTTAAAAAGTTTTTTAAAACGTTAAATTATTAATACCTTTAACCTTTTAAAAAAAAATTAAAAAATTTTCTTTTTCTTACTCCTTTGTTATAAATTTTAATTTTTTTATTAGGATTAGGATTCATTTCGTGTTGATTGAGTTTATTAGAAGTATTTTTTATATTTAATATTAAAAATTTGCAATTAAGTGAGTTAATTTGAATTTAAATATTTGGGAGTTTTATTATGATTTTTAAATTAGAGAAAAAAAAAAAGGAGGAAAAAGGGTAAAGGGAAAAAAATATAATAATAAAAGAAAGAAAATTGGAAACCTCAGCGCTCAGACCCTTTATTTTTAACCCCTCCGCTCTCTTCCTCTCTTCAGTGTGTTTTCTTCTCCGGCAGAGCTTCATCGTTCACGATCTCCGGCGACGTCGTACCTGAACCGCGAAACTCAGCGGCTGTTTCCTTTTCCGGCGACGGCGCACGAACTCTGTTCCTCCGTCGCGAACGGCAGTATTTTTTTTCCCTCTGTTCCTCCCTTGCGAACGGAAGTATTTTTTTTTTCCAGCGGCTGCGCATTCCTTCACCGGCGGCGAAAAGCTCCTCCCTCGCGGCGGAAATCTCGTCGTCTGGGATATATATGAAGAATTAGTGTTGAGTTAATAGTATTCGGTGGAAGTTAAAAGGGCATGGCGACGACGGATGTGATTGGCGGCGAGGGTTCATCTTCATCTTCATCTAAGTCGAGGAGAAAGGCAATTTGGTACTCACAGCCGCTGACTCCATTGATGGAAGGGCCAGCTCCCCAATTCCAAGATCAAGAACCCAACAAGAAAGACTCTGTTTCGAATTGGGAATTCTTCCGCGACTGGTTCAAGATCCAGCGCAACCTCCCCTCTCTCCCTCCTTCCACCTCCTTCACCAATAGTTCTAATAATGTTCCCAATTCCAAGTACTCTCTGGATTTGAAGCTTCTGCTCGGCGTCCTCGCCTGCCCACTCGCTCCCATTCCCCTTCACTCCGCTCCACACCCCCATTTCCCACGCGACGATGCCGATACCCCTCTTGTAAGTGTTCGAATCTCGTCTCCAACAATTTTGTTAAATTTACGAGGATTTATTTTTTGTTTTGATTCCAGGAAACGTCTGTGGCTCATTACATTATACAACAATACTTGGCTGCCACCGGATGTCTCAAACAGCAAAAGTGTGCCAAGAACATGTACGCCACCGGAAGCGTCAAGATGATTCGCTGCGAAACAGAGGTTTCTTCAGGCAAAACTGTCAAGACCGTCGGGACAAGAATTGAGGACAATGGCTGTTTTGTTCTTTGGCAAATGATGCCGGCGATGTGGTCCCTCGAATTGGTCGTCGGAGGTAGTAAGGTGGTTGCCGGCAGCGACGGCAAGACCGTCTGGCGTCACACTCCTTGGCTCGGCACCCACGCCGCCAAAGGCCCCCAACGACCTCTCCGCCGCATCGTTCAGGTAACGAATTATACTCCATAACTTCATTTCCTAATCAACTAATTGAAACCCATTTCATATTTTGTTCATTTCTTCATTAATCTTGTCATCTCTGTACAAAACTTTTTATTTTTTCGAGGAATAAGAAAGAATTGGTGGGGTTTGGGTATAGATATTCAAAAATGGTTTTACCAAACAAAGAACACAGAGTGTGGAACAAATGAACAATCCCAAGAAATAGCTGACAATCATACAGAAACTGTCCCCTGCTTTATCCCACCACTTGTGCTTTTTCGACAGTCGGGTTTTTGGGAATGGACGGCACGTGATTGATTCTACTGTGACGTCACTCCGCCGTCTTGGGATTTGCTCCGCCTCTCCATTCGTCTTTAGGGGGCCAAAGGGGTCCCCAAATGTCTCTGCTTTTTGCTCGTCTTTCATTCACTCTTCTTCAAATTCCCACGCCACTAAATTATAAAAGATACGGTTAAAAATTCAAACCTTTTGATTTCTTATTTGGTAGGGGCTGGACCCAAAGAGCACGGCGAGGCTGTTCGAGAAAGCACAATGCCTTGGGGAGAAGCGGATCGGGGACGACGATTGCTTCGTGCTGAAAGTGTCGGCGGAGCGGGAGGCTGTGATGGAGAGGAACGAGGGGCCTGCGGAAGTGATAAGGCATGTGCTTTATGGCTACTTTTGCCAGAAGAGCGGAGTGCTTGTGTACTTGGAGGACTCTCACCTGACCAGAGTCCAGACGGAAGGGGACGCCGTGTACTGGGAAACCACCATCGGAAGCTGCATCGGAGACTACAGGGATGTGGATGGGGTCCTCATCGCTCATCGGGGCAGGTCCATTGCCACGGTCTTCAAGTTTGGGGAAATGTCAGCCCAATTCAGTAGAACCCGAATGGAAGAGGTTTGGAGCATCGACGATGTGATGTTCAATGTCGCTGGCCTTAGCATGGATTACTTCATTCCTCCCGCTGATACTTTTGATACCATTCATTCTCATTCACACTCTCATTCGCACTCTCAGTCTCATTCTCCATGACCATCGCTCGCCTTCCCTGCTAATCACTCATTTTACTTCATTGTATACATCATCATAACAACTTGTCTGCTAAATCTTAATCCCAGCAGCTCTTTTACACTGAACTAGACGCCACTGGGACGCTCCCTGTGCGTATGCCTGTGCCTATGTTCTCTGCAACAAGATCTTTTATTGTTGACTCCATTGTTTTTTTTTTTTTTTTTTTTTTTTTTTCTTCTCTCTCTCTTGCTTTTGAGCTTCAAAATAGAGTTCGAAAAAAAAATATATTGGGTTTGGAATAACTAGAACAGAAATGATATTGATAAAATTAATACCCTAAAATGTATAGCCTCCAGATATTAAAATTAGGTAGTTCAAATATTCAGCTTTAATCATTTACATCACTGTTAATTCGTTACTTCTTAATTAATGGCCAAATTGGAAAAAGATAAAATATTCTTCTTTGGGCTTTTATTGGTGTTTGTTTTGTTTGTATTATTAATTCATTCAAAATTTCCCATCAACAAACACGTGTAATCAATCATCTTTAATGATTTGGTATTGAAAAATAGAGAGAGAAAGATACGGAGCTAAACAAACATTAACAGATAGAGCCAAGTTTGTTTCCTATTCAAGTCTTTGGAGGCACAAGCACATGCTTCCATGTACACCTACCTTGGTGTGTACTGATTTAGGGTTTGAAAAATGTAGCAATTAACCTCGTTATTTGGGGAGAGATAAGAGAGAGAAAAAGATGGTTGTCTTATGAATAATATCCTACGAGGCTACGCCTTTGATTTTGGTATCAAAAGATGTGCTGGTCGGATACTTTTGTTTTGGAATCCATGACATCCACATCATAATTGTATTGACCGTTCGATATCACCGATAATTTTGTTGTCTCCAATCAAACCCCGCTAATGAACTAGACGCAAAAAGAGCCAAAAAGAAGAAAGAAAAGCAGTGATGAGTCTACCCCACCCAGGGGTTGGTTCAACATTTCCTTGAAAGGTTAAGTTGAACTTCACAATTACTTCCCACTAATTAAACTGCTCATTCATAAAACCGAATGATTCAAGTGGAGAATTGGTAAATTAGCCACCTGTGATAATAATATAATTTAAGCACTGCTTAATTCATGGTCACAAAAGGAAATTAATTAGTGTTCTTTTCATAAGAAGCTGGAGATAAACACTCAAAGAAGCTGGTAAAGTAGCAATAAATAATGCTATAAGCTATAAATGAAAGGTTTGGCAAAATATTTTCATTCAATCTATGATGAAGGTGAAACTGGCTCTGAGAAAATGAAGAATTGATGAGGACTTCCATTGATGATTCGAGAAGTTCGACTCACTTGACCCGAATATAACCTCACTATTCAGAATCAGAACCTGAAAGTTGTGGCATCTGATAAGCATTTGGAGGCTCAAAATCAGTGATGGAAGGGGGTATGTCACCTTTTGATGCGGTTCTTGGACGGTTTCTTCTTCTAGCTTTGCTTCCTTCCTGGAGACGTATACCGAAAAAGAAAAAAAAAAGAGAAATTAAAGATGATGTACATGAGATACCATTCCAACATGAGATAAATTAAAAAGGCTCTATCCAAACATTGTCGATCAAGTAATAAAACACAACAGCCCATTTGAGCATTTTAAATTTTAGACCGTATATTGAAAAGACCGTAAGGAATATTTCTTGAGCCTCACTCACTTACCTTAGCAGATGGTTGACTTGGTTTAGTGGACTCATTTGGGAGGTCTGGTTGCCTAGCTGGTTGCGATGGGAGGGTGGGTTGAGACTTCTTCAGCCATATTGTGCCAAAGGACAATAATGAAGCAAGAAAAAAGACTGGGCCAATTCTTGGGTCGTCTAGACGGTCATAGATTGCAACTTTGATGTGTGCAATCCACTTCAACACATTGTTTATAAAACTACTCCCAGCATGTCCAAACCTCATTGGCTCCGGATCTTCAAGAACGAGTTCAGGAGACTTCACTCTCTGCCCATTTGAAAACACGAAGATAAACTTGAGCTAAATATAAATAGTCAACTAGTCCCCACGCCTCGTTCTTTTCATTTTTCCATTTCTTTTTAATATGAAACGGGGATCTTATAAAAAAAGAATGAATATACACTTCAGCCTATGTAAAAGGAGTTGAAAATGCCCCTCTCCTGAAGCTACAAAATAAGAGCCTTTAGAGGATCATAGACCAGGTGCCGTGGTATCAAGTACATTCTTCAACCAATCTGAATTTCCAGTAGTCGAACTTTGCAATCAATGTTGTAAGAATATCTAAAGATGCTTAAGGTCATTTTATACAATTCCTCTTTAAGAATTGAAGCAAATTGATCCATTCGAATAAATGTTCAATAAGCATTAAAAAAAAAATCCATCGAAGAAATGGAAAAATTAGTAGACTTGGGATTCTATCATACGAGCAAATAGGTTCGGCTAAATAAAATTAATAAAAATCTGTAAAGTGACTTACATAAAAGGGTAGATCCTTTGAATCGCCATCGTCGATTATTTTAGAGATCCACTGAACAATCTACAAAATATGATATAACAACGGTACTAGTAAGTCCACGATGGAAGGAAGACAATAAAATTATCCTAATAACTATAAGCTTTTAACTCTACAATAAGTTAGCATTAGCACATACTATAATATAAACCTAAAGGAAGAAAAAGCATCATCACAAGCTTCTTAACGTATGTCAGTGATTAATGAGGTCAATGAATTATAGGGAAAAAGAAAAAGACTAACCTCTGAAATCTCAGATGAACCATTGTAAAGGGCCACGAGCTGTGCGGCGAGATCCAGATCCTCGGACGATGTATCAAATAAACTTCTTGGCTTTATCTCCTTTGCTTTAGTCGCATCCCTTTTATACCGCGCAATAAATAATCGAGGCACATCACTGAGATCTCTCCTTGGTCCACAAGTTTCATAGCTAGATTCGGAACTGATGTAAAAGAAACAATATTTCTAGAGAAAATGAAGGAATTTGTCAGTGAAAGATAAAGAGAAGAAGACAAGGAGGGGGGAGGAAGAGGAAGTAGCTTGGACATTATCTAAATAAAGAGCCAACATTATCTAGCACAGTATCAATTTCAAACATAGACACACTTTGGGCACACGATGAAGTGTATGATACATCTTATTATTATTTTATAGTTTCTGACACATTGGAGATACCCTAAAATATGTGTGTCGCAAGAGGGCATGCTTAGGATATGCGAAAAACACATTTTTGTTGGGAATATAGAGGAAAATATTGAAGCATGACAGCTTAGACATCAAAAGTCAAGAAAGAACATTTACATCAAAGAGCTAAGACATAAATAACTTTTGGATTTGATGGGAAAGACAAAAAGAATTAGATAAAATCATAAACTTTTCAATTAATTCACTTGATAATGCTTATGAAGAGGCACAACAAGGTATAAGAAATAAGAATGATGTTTTGGGTTTCTTTTTCTTCTTCTTCCTCTTTGAAATATTTTTGTAACTCTGAAGTCTGATGCTTCATAAAAGTATGGATGCATCTTCAGAGAAATGCAAATCAGCTACTTCATTAATATGTTGTCTGTCATTACGGAAAAAAAAAATTATATTTTCATTAAATCTTATAACCTATAAATATAAATGGTAATTTAACTATAATAACTGTGGAAATGTTTTTCAGGGATTTTGGGAGGCTTGATGCAAGTGTGGATGTACCCTTTGGAACTTTACTTAACTTGCTACCATAGAAAAAATATCTACATTATCATCTTTTAACCCTCCCGATAGTCCTTGAGATCATTCAGTCTTAAAATTTTATGTTTGAAGTACATAGAATTTAAATTATTCATATTGCTTTCCACCATTAAGAAAGATGCCAAGAGTGGCTTAACTTGAACAAGATTTCTTTGTTGTTTCACATTCCTATCGAGTTCAAAGATAAACAAGGAAACCCCAAGAAAAATCGTCCAACCAGATCAGTAGCTGATGTGAATTGTGATCCTTCAAAACTCTAAAGATCTATAGAGCAAATTTTTTTGAGGTTATTCAAGTAATAAGATTTTGAAGATACTGTCAGATTATTCTGGTGTGACTAGACTTCCCATGTAGCACATAAGATATCGCGATATACTGAATATAAAAAGGATCAGAAGAAAATGGGATCAAGATACTATAGATGGCTCATAGCACAGCTGGAAAAATTCAAAACTCGGATTTTTCAAATGAGTAAGCCAAAGCAAGGATCGACCGTAGGTCCACTGCTACCCTGTTTCTCACATTCCAGTTTATAATTTAATGTTATGCCAAGGAATGGGAGTCACCTTTTGGGCTTCACCATCAAGCCAAGTGAAGGACAAACGTTTGCCTTTTAGTGCAACTGCAGCTGGAGATACCATTGGGCCTTCATCAGCTTCGTAAGCTTCACTATCAGTAGTTAAAGTTTCTTTAACCCTGCGTATTGTCTAACTTTTACACAATTACAACATTCCTAACAAGTAAAATAAATAGTTTGCATAGATATAAATTTGAGCTGGCTTATCACAACTTGATTCAAGTGTTTTTATAGTGTAACATCATCCTATGTACACTTTATGTAGAGGTGTGGACAAAGAATTAGCTTCGGCCAGTACCACAAGACACTATAATCCCCACGAAATCATCAGGAGTAATTTAAGATATCATGTTCTCAACTAAGATTGCAACACCTATGATGCTATTATAAGAGAACATATTCATCAAGAAAAACCTAACACTACCTAACTTTTGAGAGAATCAGTTATTCAATGATGAATAATGCTGTGCAACTTCAGAAATCTTCAAATTAAATATTGATAGTATTAGTCAAAAGTTATCTCAAATAATGAATATTTTTCTTTTTGGTACATACGTACAATATGTTTAGCAGCTAGTATATGTCAAAAAATTAGGATAATTTGTCTTTTAGTAACGAAATTTATCTTTCAACTTCTTAGGAAATAACGAGAACACCCCTAAAATCCCATGGTTAACAGACAAATCTAATAAAATTGTAATTACAGATCCTTAAAACAAAATTACCATTTCAAATTCATATACTCCGTTTCAAATTTGATGAACGACAACCACTGCCACCACTGATACAAGAAAACTAATCATAGGAAAAAAGCTTACTTCACGCATTTTGTTGAGTTCTGTACCCAGTCTTCCAGCTATAATAGCACAGTACCACGTCGATGTGTCAGATCCGGCACGAGAATAACCACGAGCATCGCATCCCAGCTCCATTGATGTCCGACTTCTTAATTGAGGAATTGCTTAAAAAGACAAGTAGAACAAGAATTGTAGTTTAAGAAAATGGATTACAGAAAAGTAAGCATAAAATAATTTAAGAGTAACATGTAAAAAAGCCTAAAAAAAAATTACTGAACTTCCATAAGTTATTATGCATGAAAAACTCTAAGAAACCATTGTGCTGTTGATTAAATAGAACAAATGAATTGACCTATTACCAAAAGGAGAACCTAAAGAAACTATGGTACCTTGTTGTTTATTCTGTTCAATAAGCTGTACAAACGAGGTACTGTTGATAGAGCCTGATGCAAGAAGTGCAGTAGTCAAACAATGCACGTAGCAAAGTACAAAAGAGAATGCACACAAATGGTATAAGGCACGAAAAAAAAAAAGAAGAAAAAAAGTCATATACCATGGTGCACAATAGGCTTCACCCCTGGATCTTTCAAGAATATCATAGCAGGTGCAACTTCCACCCCAAACCTAGGTTCAAACATAAATACGCTATCAAGTTCTGATGGAAACAAAACAGCAATTATAGGAAGAAGCTTTTAGTGGTAAAATTAAAACTAACCACAAATTTTAAGACATACCAGCAACCGAGTTTTATGTAGAAAGACGATACTAAATATAAACAGACTACAAGCAAACAGTGCACCACGCATCAAAGGAAAAGAGAGGACCATGGACTCACGCATCCAACCAGACAGATGAATCCTCTTCTCGCCAAAGCACAAAGGCAAATGAAACTGAATCCCAGTAGTTCTTAGCAGTTTGACGTATGAATGGTACAGCACGTTCTCCAGTTTCTGAGAAAATAATAACTTTGACCTATTTTCCAGTAGAAAGATGATACATTGATGTCAGCTAATTAGGAATCAATGCAACTTGAGGAAGCAGAGCTCAAATCAATACATTATCAACAATTACAAAGTTACATGTAATCGTACTTCTATAGTTCTTAAAACAAAGGAAAAGAGGGGGGAGGTGGAGAAAAGTAAGCAATAAATAATACCTTATGGGGACTACTCTTGGCCAAAAAGTTTTGACCCTGAGAGTGAAAACCATCCATACATCAATCTAATGTGAACAACTGGTGAAAGTACTACCATCAAATTAAAACTTGTGGAAATAATCTGATGGTACCATCAAAGAAAATAATAATAATAAAAAAGCAGCAAACTGTAAAAATATTCTGGACCGAGATTGTAGAATAGGCGCAAAAACTGTAACACTGTGACATAGAATACCATGGCCACCCAATACATTTAACCATGGAAAAAGAAAAATAAATAAAACTACGAAATCCTGAATAGTGAGCATTACCAATGTGTCCTTTGAGTAGTAAAGAATTCGAGGTAGATGCAGTACAGTTGTTGCAACCCAATCTGTAATATCATCAGCAGAAAGCTCCCCACCGAACCTAGGAAGAAATATATTCAAATACTTCAAAAAGAGATTTGTAATAGAGAAACGAGGATTTGCGTGTGCATGAACTGTAAGGAATAAATTAAAATTACCCTTTTGCCAAAAAAAATGTACAAGGATTCATACTGATGTTAAGGATTACTGATGTAGCTTATGGAGTAAAGTTAAATGCTTGCATTTGGACTTTCAACACTAAACATAATTACATGTCCCTCTTTGATTAGGCCAGCTGGAAGCTTATTCAACTAACCTAGCGCTCTAGGGTAATTCAAAGAAACCATAGCCTATTCTTTAGTATACTTATTCATTTTCCAGGAAGGAAGAGTTCCACAATTGACCTACAATCTAAGCTTGAAATTTGAAGCCCATTGAAAACTCCATTACCTATTAATGCAATCAACTGATTTACAACCGAGTGGAAAAGCAACAAGTGATGGTAGTCCTGCATATTATAAAATGAAGAACATATGAAGTAGAGAAATACCCACAGAAAGAAAAAATCAAGACATATTGTACAGTTCTAAATTATGAAAAGCAGTAAAAATTAGGCTATTTAAATTTAATGATAGACGTCTACATAGAAGAGCGTATTTAGAGTTAACGAGAGACATCTATAGAAGAGCATTTCTTAGATCTCCTTTCTTTCATATATAACAATATGCCCCATTATTTTATTCCTATAATAAACCAATTCACAGGAAAGTAGCTAAGAAAACAACACAGTTAATGAACAAGTCAGAGTACAATAACAAATAACCACGTAATACAGAATACATATGTAAATAAGATTCTAGTTGTTATTTAGTATCACATAATGAATCAAAATCGTGTAGATTTAATTCTTTGATTCTTATAGAATCCTGTGGAATGAAATAGAACAAATTGATGTGGTCCTTCAGAAATAAGAACCAAATAAGAACTGTAACCGTGGATAAACTCATAGAACTTCACCATTCAATTTCTATATCTTTATACAAGCTTTTAAGCATTGCATCTTTATAAGTTCACAAAGAAAACAGCAAGATATAGTCGCAGAGGGAAAAAAGGAGTCCAATCAAGTTATTCTCTCCAATTCCTTTATAGAACTATGGACTTAGGAGACTGAAGCTGCGTTTGCCATTGATTTTGAAGACCATGAGAGTGATTATAAAAGACATTTAACCAATTTGTGTTTGGTAAAACTGATTATAAAATTACTGTTTCAATACGTTGAGTTGTAAACGACACTAAGTAACTTTTCAGTTTAGCTTTCCAAAAAATCTGTGGATTTCTAACTAAGCATTTAATTCTCCCATAGCTCCACTTTGTTGAGACATGATTCACCATCGATCCTCATTTTTTTTTTTTTAATTTAATTTGCTTCCTCTGTAATCTTATTTTAATTCCATTGAATTTATTTTTCTTACTTTTTTTTTAAATTTAAATTGAAGTGACATTTTTTCTTGTTTCTCTTATCAAAATTGAGAAAATCTAGACTAAACACAGTAATATAATTTAAATTATACGAAATTTAAATTAATTCTCATAAAAACTTTAAAATTAAATATCAACCTAGCAATATGCAATGCAGATTTTGGTTATTTATAGTCCAGCTGTAACAAAATAGTATTAACTTACCAAACACATTAACCTATTTTTTCTTCTTTAAAGCTGAAACTTGCCAAAAACTGATTTACTTTATATTACAGTGATTTTTATAAAAGCAGAACTGATAACAATTATGGTAGAAGCTACAACAATTCAAACTGAGCCTAAATATAAACTTACCGTTCCTAAAGAACAGTTGTCCAGTAGGCTTTTTCTCTGCAAAGTAAGCAGCAAGTTGAGCTTCACCAAGCTCCACTACTGCAGTATTAGCAACTCCATCCAGCAAAGTAACTGAGAATGAACATATATGAAAACATAACAAATTGTTACAGAAAAATATATGTATATACTCAAAGTATGGACCATTAATACAAGTATGTTCAATCCCCCAAGGAAGTAGGAGGGAAGGAAGAGGGAGGGAGATTTCTTAAGATTCATGCAACCTCGTCTGAAAGATAGCAGATGGTGGGAAGAATTTCAAACTAGTTTCTCCCCCCACCCAGAAGTCCTCCCAAAAATAGGAAATAATTCATCCCCAATGGAACATTTTACAAACTGGGAGAAGAGGAAAACCCAGCAATGTAGCTTTTCAAGGGTTTCTAGAACACCCTTTAAGCCAATTGCCAAAAAAACCACTCGAAGGGGTGAGTCATACTAACTCAGAATGACTCTGTGCCACAAAGCCCCGACCTCTTGCTAAATAGCCTCATTCCAAAGGCCATGAAACCACCTCCAAACCGATTAAGTGTGACCCTCACCTCTCCGATAAAAAATCTAGACTAGACTTTTACTCATTGACATAGGGATTTTAAGAAGGGAAAGGTAATACACAAAAATTTCAATCAAGACAGCTAGGATAAGGGAAGTCTCCCTCCCTTGGAAAAGGAAGCCTTTTTTCAAAAAGACAGACACTTCATAAACTTCTCCATGACCAAATTCCAAAACGAAAAACATCTCAAATCATCACCTAAAGGAAGCCGAAGGTACAAGGCAAGAGATTCACCTCACAACCCACCCTAGACGA